TGCCTGACCTTTGGGCCCAGATTGTTGCACAGAAAGCATGAGCTTTGTGGTGCTGTATTCCTCTAGTAGTTTTGCAAACATTAAATTTAAAAACAAAATGAAAGAAATCCCACTCCCCCTCACCCCCCTCCTTTGTGAATATGGTACAGAGAGCAAAATACCTGGTTACTCTTGACTCGGGCAGAAGCATGCTATGCGTGCCAGGTTTGTGTGTTAGCCGAGCTGTTCTAAGTTGCTCTTGGAGCTTGGTGGGTCCTGAGCTGTGGTTCATTTGCTTTTCACTTCTGCTTTCCTCAGGAAGTAAGTGCAGCAGCTAATCAGGTGATTCACAGTGGAAAGTTTAAAGAGCAGAGTGGGAGCTGCTGCATGCAGCAAGATGCCTAGTAGGACAGAAACAGTAACACTCTTTCTGGATGTGGTTATTGACTGCAACAGGAGCTGCCAAATCTAGGAGCCCAGGTATGTCAAGAGATTTGCTGTGAAAGTAAAAGGAACAGACTGTTAAATGTTGAAGGAAACTGCAGTATTATCTGCAACTGCTTTGTTACGGTAGGACCATTTTCAAATAGCAAAGATTTCAGTCAAAGTTCGCCCCAAACTGCAGTTCAAAGAGGAAAAAGAATCAGTGGTTTGCTTGTATCATTTAATCTAGAGATGATAATAGGATTGCAGATTTAAGGATTGCAGATCTGTTGCTGCTACTAGTGAAGACTTGTTAGATATGATTTAACTGAATGTCCTTATCTGTTGTTTTGAGATGGTCAGAATTACTCTGGTCTTAGTCCTTGAGTTTGTTACTACTATATTGTCCATGACTGAACAGAAGCATTCTGTTTGCTCTTGAGATGGGGACATCACTTCCAGGAGGACCACATCTCAAAAGAAAGTACACCCAATATCTCTGCTTCTTAAGGTTGAAAAGTGTTTTAAAACCCTTCTGTTACTTGAATTTTGTCAGTGATTTGTATTTCAAGGCACCAGCCAGATTAGGATCCTATTGTACAAAGCACTGTGCCAGAACATAGGAAGAGAGAATACCTTGCCCTGTAAATTTTTGATTAGATGGAACTGGCAAGGTTGGGTAGGATATTTAATTTTGCAACTTAAGTTATTGCAATCCTCTTATCGAAGAACATAAATAGAGTGACATTTAAGTGTAAATCTTTTCGGTGGTGTTTGTTCAGTTTGCCTCATGAACTATGAGAAATAGAACTGATAGATGTAGATAAGGAAGGCAGAAGGAGTTCAGGGAGGAAGAACCAGTGTGAATAGGAGGGACAAAGGTAAGAGGGTAGTAGGTGGACAGCATCTGGCGCACTGTTCATTCTGAGGTGCTGTGATTCCTGTGAACACAGAGTGATGTGAGCCACAAGGAGGGAGTTTTTGATTGAATGGGAAGAGAACAAGAATTTGTGATATATTGTGTTTCATGGAAAAAATAAATGATGCCTGCTATTGCTTGGATCTGTTATGGCATCAGACAGCTTTCTTTGGGAGGTAGTGGCATCCCTGTTTTTAGCGTTTAAAATTATTAACTGTCATAACTGTCTTTATTAAACAGTCATCTTAGCTGCCAGAGAAAGGAAAGAGTTATAAAGGAGTATCACACAGTGGATTTTTGGGATGTTCTGGGATGTGTGTTTCTGACAGTCACCAGAATCCTGGGATTTAATAGTTAAGGAAAGGCTATTAGGAGAAGGAATATTTAAAGCAGGTAGTTGTAGAAGTCTGATATTTAGTCTAATATTTTTCTTGTCATTAGAACAGTTGGAGTAAATAAGGAGGAAATTTGTAGTCTTTATTTTGCTTTCATGTACTTCTGGAGATGAAAGATTTCCTTGTGCATTCAAATATCTAACATTTTTTGCAGATACTTACTGTAAAAAAGTGGATCAATCTCTGAAATATGGTATAAGACTTGATTGTCTTTTGGTCAACCATCTGGCTGTGATAACAAGTGATTTTAAATGAATAAGTAAACTTCTTGATCTTGGTGTAAATTGAGATTTTGTAGCTGAATGAGATCCTTCTTTGAACTGCTGGGGGAACTGTCATTTAAAAAACCATGTTTGTTCAACTAGTAAGCTGTTAGTAACAGTGTTCTGCCAGTTCTTCTGCCAGCTTTGGTCAGGCCTTTCTTCCCTTTTGTCTTTTCAGCCTAAAAAGTCATAGCAACGTTGCTGTGTGATTTCACATGAGCTTCATTTAGAAAAAAAGGGAAAATACATGATTAAGTTACATTTCCTCTCACTACTTTCTGAATGATTGCATCAGATTTATTTAAAACATTTTGACTTTCATGTCTTCTAAAACCTTTATTATTTAGACTTTACTTTTTGTATCATTGTGATACTTATCAAAAAGTATCTTATCAAACTTAAGAATCAAACAAAGAAACTTATCAAAGCTGAAATAAGCTCTTAACTTACATGAGGATCAAAACAAATGGTGGAGTGTAGAAGAGAGACAACATATAAGATGTTTTCAAAATATCTAATCTATCCTTAATACCAAAGATATTTGAATGCTGGACCCTGTGATTTTGTGGTTAGTCTAGAAGAATAATTATCCTCTAAGAAGAAGAGCAAATGTAAAGGACTTAGAAGTCTTAATCAAAATGTAGACACAAGAAAAGGCTATTAGGAGAAGTAATATTTAAAGCAGATAGTGCAAGTGGAGTCAACAGACTAATACCAGAGGACTGATGTTTAGTCTAATATGTCTTTTGTAGTCCAGATAGTTTGGAACAAATAATAAGGAAAATAATAATCCTGATTTTGCTTTCATGTATTTCTGGAGATTAAATATTTCCACGTACACTTAGATGCCTTACATAGCCTGCTACAAATAGGTCTTCATTAATGAAGTTGTGTGTGCATATCTGGTTATGAGAGTTTCTGTGGAGATGGGAGGAACTCTTTCATTGCATGGATTCACAGAGCAAACATTTTTTGAGTGACCATCCCCGCTTGCTTTAGCTGTGACACTGACAAGAGAGGCCTGCTCAGTGAAGTGTGAATAGAAAGAGAGAAAAATGGTTAAAAGATTTGCAGGGCCATACTTATGCAGTGCAATATAGGAAGTTGATTGGTCAGTCACGGACCTTCTGAGGCCAGCGTAGGCACTTCATTTCACCTCTCCCGGACATAGTTTCACCATCTGTAGAATGCCTCTGTAAAGAACTTTGGGTTTCTCAATGCAAATGACAAAGGTTGAGTGTAGGCACTGGGAACGAGTTACTTGTTGCTTAGCATTGATTTAGGCTTAGCAGAGTAGCCTCCAAGGTGAGACATTTCCTTTAGGGAGAGAATGGTGGTGCTGTTTGGGATGTGAGAGCAGCATAAGTGAACTATGCTCACTGAAGCCCCTAGAACAGTACCCAGGCTTCCTCAATTAACACACTGTACAGCTTCATGATGACTCAAGCGGGCCAAAATCCCACACCAGATTTAAGTATAACATATGACAAATGTAACTCCCACACAGTCATGAGGAACAGAGTCTTCCTGTTTACTGTATGCAGACAGTCATCACAATTTTTCTGCTCACAAGGCTGTGTTGTCTTAACACAGATAATTAGAGAAAACAACAGCAGTGAAACACAAAATGTTGTTGAGGTAGGAAATTTTAGATTGACTGTTCCTTGGAGGCTGATCAAAATTTCATAGCCCTCCATCTCCCACAAAGGACAGAGTATGGGCTGTGGTGGAGTGAATTAGCCTCTGCCATACTGTGAAGGATCGGCATTTACATCCAGGCATAGGTGTCTGCTGGGACTATCAGCTTGCTGCAGGTGGTGTGGTGCACAGTGTCAAGATAATGTCATGCTCTTCATCTGCACAGTGTGGAGCTGCTGCATGAGTGTGGAAGGGAAACTGATTCATCTGGCCTGGAGTGGGCAGAATGCAAGCAGTAAGCTAACTAACTGCGTAACGTTTGGAAGGTAAAGGAAGAGAATCCCAAATGTAGCGTTGGCTTATAATTCTAAACCAAGCTTGTAATACTCTTTTAAAATTTATTTTAATGGATGTATGTACTGGTAGTGCAGATCTGACTCAGTTTTTTAGTTATATTTGCTTTTTGGCATTTTTATTGACAAGCTAGAGTGGCAATCAAAGACACTGTAGAGAAAGAACCTATTTCCTAGAAATGAAGCTACATTGACGTTTTTCTTTGAGGGGGGTGTAATGATGTGTTAAAGATTCTTCTAGGCTCTTAAAAGACAATATACTTGGAAAGTAAAGTGAGCTACATTAATTTTGATGACTCCCATCTGCCTACCCACACTGTGATAATTTGTCCTGTCATATTTTGAATAGTCAGACAATGACCTAGATACCAATAAGCATATGGATGACTTTGATGGAAACTGGAGAAGCCTGATTTCCATTGGTGTAAGTGTTGTCATTACGTAGGCTCAACATAGCAGGGTGAGCTCACAGAAGGCTATGGCAGAGGACTGGAGCTGCTATGGATTCAAGGCTGTGTCAATGACCTCCCAGAAGACTATGGATGAAAACAGAACTGTAAAGTAGATGAGAAGACTTGGGGTTGAGATGAGTTGTACCAGAAGGATTCCCCTACCTATAGTGCAAGATGGACTCATTTTAAATTAAATTTGTTGGAAATGAGACTTCTAGAAGCACCATGCTCCTTCAATGAGGAATATCCACTTCAGTTTGCAGGATCAGCAAAACAAGTAATGTTGTAGCGAAAATACCTACTTATTGTACAGAGCTGTATGGCGGCCATATAGAAGAGCTGAATCTGGCTGTCTCTTTGGGCCAGCACACCCATGTGGAAAACCTTTGGCTTTTCCACACAGCTCCTATTCCAGACAAGGCTTCAGCCCCACCCTAGGTAGGGCGTGTATCAGTGATGTGCAGCTTAATTTAGCGTCCATACTAAATGAAATGTGTAACCTGGCTCTTGGCTAGTGCTCTTCTGTTGAAGATCTGATGATGGTAATAATTATAACTTGTTTTACAGTTGGGGTGACTGAAGTATAAAGGAGAGGATCTGGCTCAGTGGCAAAGCTGGGGCTGGAATACAGATTTGCTGCATGGTTTGCCTGTTTGTCCTGTCAAAGCCTAGGTGAGTTATGTAGCACATGCACGTGTCTCATGGCAGACAGCTTGTTCATATTCTTGTCCAGAAGCAGGGTGCTTTGCCATCAGAATTGTAAAAGAATCAATGACTGAGAGCGTTTCCATGTTTCTAAACTCTCTAACTCCAACAGTTAAAACTGTCAGTGTCTAGTTCCATGGGAGGGTTTAACAGTAAGAGATGATCTAACTGTAAATAACACAGTATCTTTATCTGGTCTCATCTCAGCATGGACAAAGCAGCTGAACTCACATGGCAGCTGGAGGATGCACCTTACAAAGCAGGACAGCAAGAGCAAAGCCCTGATGATGGAGACACGGCAGAGGAGCAGGAGAAGACTGCACACAGCAAGGACAAGCTGCCCCAGAGCCATACCCTCCAGTGGGAGACTCTAGGCAAACAATTTGTAGAGTATGAGCAGGTGGCTCCATTTCTTGTCCCAGAGGATCAACAGAGAAGTCTGCTGGACTTTCTTCCCCTCTTCTTAAAGGTTTGTTCAAGGATGTTAATTTGAGTTTCTGTTGCCCTATCCATTCTGTGGTCACCCCAACTGCCAGTTAATTGAAGCAGGATCCCTTTGTCTAGGTGATGCTTTTACTCCATTCGGAGTAAAAGTACTCCTCCTTCCATCTACCTAACCTGCTGAGTTAGTATGAGAAAAGTGTATGAGGGAACACTGTTTTACTTTCCTGAGTGGCTAAATTCTATTCTTGAAGGCAAGGAATATGTTGATGAGACAGGCATCTTTCAAAGTGAAGAGATCACTTCATGTCTGTCTCACGTATTTTATTACTTAATGGGAGGCTGAGCACACTTTCAGTCTAGGAAAATGTGATTGTGGCATGCAACCAGTTAGGGGAAATGCAGGAATACAGTCTTAAGATGGAATTTGGGGGTTAATGACCATGCTGATGTCTAATTTTAGTGCTTGAGAGAGGATTTGTGTTAGGGACATGGAACGAGGAGAAGAAGATCATGCCATGGGTGAGGGACACAGCTGAGAACCAGAACATTTTAGTTAGCAGGCTGCCCTACCCCATTCCCTAGACCTTCCATCAGCCAACAGATTCTGAGATGGCCATGTTAAAAGGAGAAATTAGAAGAGCTCTGTAGTGAATGGGAGCCTTATGGGTTGGTTTTCTTTGCTAGAGTCTGTGAAATATACAGGACACTGTTTGAGTGGACCATACAGTGATAGAATGGCAGAGCATATACTGAGTAAAGCAGAAAGCTTGGCCTATATTTAAAAATACTGTGGTGATGTAGTAGTACAGAAGAATTGTTTTTCTGTTGAACTACATTGGGTATTTATGAGTATTAAATCTGCATTTTTACACTCTCTCACTATGTCTTTCAGAAAAAAACCAAAAGCATCTTTTTGGTGAAACCATATTTTAGTGATGGCATATTTCAATTGCCTGTACTTGTGATTTTTCAGTATTCTTGAGTGACCAAACTCAGATACATCTGTTCCCTGTCTAGCTGAGCTGGTTTTCTAAAAAGTAGCCAGTGTTTAGGTGAAGAAAAAAAAGTTAATGCATGGTCACTCTTTATATGGAAGTACTGTGAGACATAAAAGGTGATACTCTGGACTGACATTTTGAACGGAGTGTGTAGGAAATTCACTGCGTTCAGGGTTGTGAAATCTTTGGTGTCCATGACAGTAAAGCAGGAATAACTTCCAGATAGTCATAAACGTTTCACTCAACTGGATGGAGCATGAAACTTGTAAGTCCTGGTGCACGGTGAAATCCCTGTAGATGATGGTGTCAGTGAACAGCACTGAAACAGGGCACTCACTGGTGTCAGTCTGATTAAAACAATTGAGTTATGGGTAGGATCTGGCAGTGCCTATGGTGAAGAGTTTGCTGTGTTTGAGTACAAGCTTGCCCTGGTCCAAGGCAGTGCAGACAAAATGAGTGGAGGGGTCTCAAAAGGCAATGAGTGTATAGCCTGGAGTCTCAGAAGTGGCCTTCTTAATAAATCTAAATGATCCTACAGAGACTTTATGACTATTGAACAAATTTCACTTTTCACCACTTCCTCTCAACTTCTGGATTTGTTTGCATAGAAGAGTGCCCCTTCTGAACCAAAGGCTATAGTTGAACAGAAGAGCTGTTCTGCATATGAGCCTGTCACTGGTAATTAATCTCTCTCTCTGCCTATAACACTACATGTGCCGGGGCAGGCTTTGCTGTCTTGGGAGCTCACCACTGCTTTATCAGGTCACAAAATTTCTGTCTTTGCAAAGGGGCAGTGTTCCTTTCTCAGCCTTCAAAGAATGCTCTTCAAAGTCAGATCAGGACTGATAATCTGACAGTTTTCTGTAGAGGAGCACCTTCCCTTTCCATAAGTCTGCTTTTAAAATGGCATGCTGCAAATTTCCCTGTTTTTTTTGAGGCAGCACACTAACAACCTTTGTGCTTGGAGCAGCAGTCATCTATTTTATTTTTTTTCTGTACTGTTTTCAGACCTCCTGTCTTCCTTCTTCTTGAAGGTCCATGGAAAACACACATCCTTTATCTTTTGAGGGTATTAATTCATCCCAATGAAGACAGGCTTTGCTGTGGAAGATAGTCTCTCCAAACTGCTCCCTCCCTGTCTTGTAAGCAAAAGGCTTTTTGTGGAATTCTTCTGCTGAGCTTTTCCTGCCTCAAACTTAAAATGAAATTGAAATTCCAAGATCTCCAAGTTTCTGAGTTGTCTTGCAGCTTTAGTTTTTGAATACCACATAATGAACATGAAGTAAGCAAGTCTTGGTGTGATAAGATTACATACAACATATTTACATTTGCTGATCATTAACTATGAATAACAAGGATGCCTTTCACGTGGCGGCAATTTTCAAAGGACTGAGAGAGTTGTTTCTGAACAAAGGTGATAAAAGTTATAAAATCTAGAAGTCTTAGGAATTCGAAATTGGACGGCAAAGAAGGAAATTGCTTATTTATCATGACACATGAGAAATAAAATTTAGTACCAGTGCGTCAAAGGACAATTGTTCTCAGGAGGCAAGGTGAGTATTGCTGAGGGGCTGGCAATGTTGTACATATGCATACCCATTGCATGTCTCCTTTCTGGAGGGCTGAACTTCACACGCTTTAGGGTTATAGAAACTGATTTCCTGAGCTGCAGTAAGGCTTGCAAAAAGGGGATTTAAAATTCTTAAAGGAAATTTTGACTACAGAATATATTCAGAATGGAGATATGAATTTTTCATTAGCTTAACACTTGATTTTATGCCCCGAGAGAGAGATTCTTCCCCCCACTTTTGTTAGATGTACTAGTGGAGCTTTGCAGGGCTTTGCAGGCATTTAAGTTTAGAAGTGTGACTAGAGCATTTTAGCCTTACATCATTGATTTAAGAGATCTATAGCTCTTACTCAGTTGGCTGGAGAGAGGGGGCACTAACTAGGAGACACCTCGGATATGGGGGCTTATTACTCATTGATACTCCTTGACATAGAAAGAAAAGGTGTAGGAGGAAAATGTTAACCATCTGCTTGTGATTCAGGCCTAGGGAGTCATTTTAATGTGCCTTCTGTGTCTTCCTTCTCAGTGCCTCAGAAAGTATCAGAACGTTCTATTGCATGGCTGGCTTTTGAACTAACATCTCTCCATGAACTATGGAGTAGGAAGGACAGATGGTAAAAGCAGACACGGGGAACTTGTGACAGAATCTTAAACATGTAGAAACAGACTTAAGAGGAAGAAAGAAAATCATATTACGTTGATACCATATTATTCGAGTTTCGCCTGAAGGCAGACATCCTGGAATGGAGTCAGGTTAATATGCTTCCAGATACAGATCTTCTATAGGCTCGAACATGAATATGGAAATAATTAGGTCTGTTCTTAAAGGGCAGTGTATTCTAAAGATTGATGTCTGACCCATGGAACAATCACCAATAAAATTAAATCAGAACATTAGTGGCCTCGTTTGTAGGGAGAAGGACTGGTAGCATTGCTATGAACATTTGATTACTGCTCTCTGCTGTGTATGGTCTCAAATCCTAAAATTTATCCTACTCTTTCTGTTAGCAGAAGAGTAGGTATAACAAGACCTTTCTGAAGGGCTGTGGATGTTCCTCTTTGAGGAAGAGGGGCAGGGATTTATCACTGTTTTTTTTCTGAGAAAGGGTGTCGCTTAATGACAAGCATTGTATATCCTGAAGTGGCTGTAGGTTTCTTGTCATTGTGTTTGCCCAGCTTGCTTCTGTTCTTTATATATCTTCCCTCCCTTCTGCATCAAAAGTGGAGGAATTGATGGATCTTACTCACAACTGAGTTTCTCTGCAAATAACTTATGGTCAAAATCTGAAAAACTAGTTTGTTTTTAATATGATTGATTGATTGATTGATTGATTGATTGATTGAAAATTATTGATAGGCACACTGTGCAATTGCATTTCACTGTTGTAGCACAGAAAGAAAAGTTGGGTGCGTTTTACTGTGTTGGCTGCAGTAAAAAGGAAATAAAAAGTGGGTGCTTGCCTGATTACTGACAGACAACTGGCACTACATGGGGAAAAAATAGCTTGTCCACAAGCTGCCATCCATGATGAAATAACAAGGAGTTGAAAGCGTGGTAGGGAAGGAAATATTTGTAGATCTTCTTTTACAAAGAGTTGCACTTATTTCTTGGCAAACAATATTATATTTGCTCCAAACTATTTTAGGAAAATGTCATTATTTTTTTTACCTTCCTTTTATAATCTGAGCTTACAGTGTGATTTTTCAGAGCTTCTAGAAGGAGACTTTTGTAAAGAAATTTTCAAGGTTGCTGGGGACAGAGGTGTCTCAGGCTGGTTTTTAGAGGTGAATGCTGAACTGTTGCTAATACATTAATGTATATAGCATTAGATGCTCTGTATAAAAGTAATGGTACCTGCTTGTTGGGGGCCAGTTGAATGTGATAGTATTAGTCTGCTGGAATTTTTTTTTTATTGCTCTTGAATTTTTTTTCCCCAAAGGCAGAGTTACATTTAAGAGGGGATCTGTTTGCCAAACTCTGAGAATTAACAAGTCTTGCTGTTATCTAGTAAGCTTTGCATTTAATTACTTGTCCGTTCTTGAACAAGTAAATAATAAATTTATTTATAAAATGTTTATAAATTTGTCTATAAATTTGTTTTTCTTCAGGGTGTTTATGTTGTATTTTGAAAGGGACTAGCACAATTTTTGATACAAAGGATTAGTGACAGAGAGTATGACAAATATTTACATTGTTTTGATTGTACTCAATGCAGAAAATACTGTAAAAGCTCTCTAGTAGGTGTGTTATGTGATTCAAAGGGTTGACTTCTGTATCTGTAGTGTTATACTCTTTCCTGTCTGGAAGAGGCTGCTTAATGGACTATACTGGATGGAAAGGGAATTTTGCAGGGGATTGTTAGCTTTATCGTTCTTTCTTTATATTTATTAGTATTTGTCAGTCTACCAAAGACATGATATGTCAGAAAGACTTAACAGTTATGCTTGGATTTCAGGCCTGGGAACAGTCTGCTGGAGTTGTCGTATTCCCCAACATTCAGCTGTTAGCCAGTGAGGTTTCCAAGCTTCTGACCAAAGAAATTAAGAGGACCCTCAATGGCAAACCTGCAGGTAAGGATCCCATACCATATCCACTGGATCCACTTGTTCTGTGCTGTCTTTCAGCTGTCCTCTGTGCTGGAAATAAAGAGGGAATAGGAAAATGCTGTGTATCAAGCCAGATATTTCAGTAGGTGTGAGCTGGCGCTCGTTTTAGGTGATTGCACTGAAGACCTGGCCTTGCTGATCTTGGGTTTGGAACTTCTGTAGCTGGAAATGTATAATGTATAATGCAACTTCTGTAGCTGGAAATGTATAATGTATAATGCATTAAGAGTTAAAGAGTAGGTTACACACTATTCTGAGGAGCTTTCTTTAATGAGAAAAATACTGCCAGCCACACATGGCTTTCCTGGTGGCTGTTGTACATTCTTTGCACTGTCAGCTGACAGGCTTCGTGAACTGAGCTGGTATTCCCAGTGAAATTTCTCAGTTTGAGACATAGTTTACATGAACTGACCTGAGCCTGATGCTGGATCAAAATAATTTTATGTCTTTCTGTTCATTCAGTGGACTGCTGCTACTGTAATTTTGTTAAATTTGTCAGATCTGTTAAGAATCTGCATCAACACAGCATTTTCATCTTCGATTTATGTTTTTGTGGTAACAGAAGAAGCTCGTCTGGCTTTGGAGCAATTCCTGCTACAGAAAGTGGAAGCAGAAGATGGCCATTTGCTGCTGAAATCAGTGTATCTGCTCTCACAGACTGACTTGGTAAGAGAAATTACTACAGAGGACTTTTTTCTTTTTATTTCAGAGGAACTGTGTAGCCACCCCAACAGTGGGACACCTAAGTCTCAGTGTTTGCATTATCCCCAATACTTGGAGCTTCAGTATGCCCAGAGTGTACAATCAGAGGACACATCACCAGGTCTATAGGTCAGGCTTTTCTGAAAGAGAGAAGTAAGCACTATGTGCTTTCAGATACCCTTTTTGTTTTGATGATCAGACAGCTATTTCTCCTAGTGTTCCTCTGCTTTTTCTTCTCCCCCCCCCCCCTTGTGTATTACTGCTCTTCAGCCTTTCTTTATCACTCCAATTTACATATCAAAAAGGTAACTAGTAGGGACCTGTATGCCTGGTAATGCAGTGGTTGAATTTTCCATCCTGATAGACTCTTGCTTTGAAGTATTTCACAAATTCTACATTTACAGCCATCTTGAATGCGGACTGGCATCAGCAGTACAGCCTGCTGATGGGCATCAGTGATGTGTTTATCCACGACATTTAGTTGAGTCTTATTCAAACACACAAAAATAAAATTTTTCTGTCAGATTCTAGGGGACATGTTCTGTGTCAAAAGGACCTCCATAAAATTATATATAGTTAGTTACAGCAGTTTCTGATGAGCTTTGTGTTTTTCACAGATTTAAGACACTGCTATTTTTTGTAGCACACACACTCACAAAACTTCATATCACAAACCTCATTCTTCTGTTTAATTTGCTTCTGGTTTTTGCTCTGATTACTGTATGCCAAGCACACACACTGGGACTTCTCTGGAAGTTGTACACAGCCATGGTGAAAACAAGAATAAGTGTTGAGAAACACTATGAAGAAACTGTCTCTTGCATTTATGAATCCTATAATTAGAAGTGTGTGTGCAGTTAAAAAAAGCAAAGGCATTATAGCTAAATTGCTGTCATGCTGAGTCAAGGAGGGAATGAAGAATTCATGCTTTTAACATACCAGGCCTCTGTAGCTGCAGGGTGTCCTGGAAACTAATGGTAAAGGGGGCACTGTCTGTCCCTGGCCTTGCTGCTGGTTCAGCTGATAGTTTTCAGGTTGTGTGCTTTATTGACTGTAGGTCTCTATATGCAGGACATAGAATCTCTGTCAAGGCTGTAGTGGGAAGTCCTGGGAACATCTATGGCAACACATGGTTAGTGTATTTACTTCTGCCAAATGGATTTGTACAGCCATGCTGTATGATAGCCAGTCTTGTGTGCCCTGGAGTACTCATAAGGATAAAATGCTCAAGTAGCTCTTTCATCTGCCATGATTACTCTCAGTGTGTAGAAGCACAAGAAAACTGTGGTCAGCTTCTGGAGGGGACTGATCTTTATTTTGCTTACTTAGAGAACTTTGTGGAACATCATTGGATCTGGACTTCCAGCTGCTCTGATGCAGTGCCTGTACCTTTTCTTCACTTTTCCTCTGAAGAAAACCAGTGATGATGGAGAGACAAGTGAGGATGACACCCAAACTCAGGAAATGCTTGTTGAGGTGAGATGTGCCTCTGGGATTTCATTTGTCCTGGACACTCAGATACACTTAGGCTCTTAGCTGGTGATTGATTCAAACTGCCACAAAAAGAAGCAATTTTGTACTGAAAACTGTTGAACAAGCATCAGGAGCAGTATAAAACAATCTGAGATGATGCCACTATATCTCTTATTTTTTTTATTTAACAAAACAATGTGACTTTAAGTGGGAAAAAATCCATTAAGAATATCCTAGTGGTAGTTTTATTTGTTCATTTCACTGCTGCTACTTTCTCCTGACATTATTATCAAACTTATAATTCCTTCTGCCAATGGGTTTTTCTTCATCTCCTGGATATTTGCAGAGGTTTTATTGTAGCTGATGTTTGTTTGCTTTTCAGATAATGCTTAAAATGTACAAAGAGGAACAAGGTGTAGAGGAACTTCTGGCAGCTGATAAGCTTCAGTCATTAATTATAGCAACTGCTTCTCTCTGGGACCAGTGCAGTCAGTCGTGGAAAGTACCTACAGGCCGTGTTCTGAGAACAATTTCAAAGGCTCAGACCAAAACCAGCATCATGTACCTACAAGGTTTGGTTTAGTAATTTGGCTACTCCTTTCCTCATAGTTCCGCTGAGAATGAATTCTCAAAAGGATTCTCCCCAGGATGGATTTTTACCTCTACATCATCTGATAGTCAGTCAACTGCAGAGAATGGGCTCTTGACTTTGTAGACAGGAGCTTTATTAGCTCTGATAGCCATCTGGAAACTGAAGAGTTTTTTACACAAAAAATAAAATTACAGGCAAGAGACAATCCCACTTGATCACACTGATGTAGGCAAGAGCAAGATGTAATATGCTTTTCCTTAAGTTATGTGACTCAGTCTGTGAGCCTAAGGCTCATGAACACTAAATACAGGGCTGGAGGCACTGCCAGAGAAATAGTGTCTTTTGGGACAACATCATAATTGGATGAGTTTCATCCTCATTTCTTCCTAGGCTTTATTAATATAAGGAATTTTTTTTTGTCGTTTATTTGTTTATTGTTATTGAGAAGTGCAAAGGCCACAAGTCTCAATTTCTTGGAGGGGAAAAAAAATAGTTTTATAACGCAAACCTTACTGTCAGTATTCCTTGTCATGGAATAACTGCATATAGGTATTTTTATTTTTTAAACTAAAAATTTGGCTTCCTCGGTGACATTGAAAGACCTGTTTAGACATTTTGAAGCTGTCCTGGAAGGACTGGGTGTCAGATTAGACAAGAAAACTAGGCATCACTCCTCAGAGCAAAATGTGTGTACCCCATTACATATGCCTCATTGAGTAAAGAATTAATCTGTGAACTCTGACTTAGTAAAAGAGAGTTAAATTTGTTAGTCTCTGCTTACCTTGTACTCAGACAGCTGGAATCACTGTATATGAATTTTGGTGAGTGGATGGGATGGAAGTTTTGTACTCCTGAGACTAAATCAGCTTCTGTGGGTTAAGCAAAGAAATGCATGCATACTGTAAAGCCATCAGTGTTCTTCATGTAGCTTCTGAAATGAGTGTGATATTCATATCTCTTCTTATCTGTTCTGTCAGAAAAAGACTTAATTGACTACTGTTTTACTGAGAAATAACTTTTCAAACTTGTTTTATTTTTGTTAGTAGCTTTGAACTTGTTTGACTGACAGTTCTTAAATACCTGCTATATGTTTTTTTTCCACAGCTGTGGACTGCATTAAAATAGCTGTTCAGAATCTCTTTAAACTGGCTGATACTCTACCTGCTTCTGATGTGTGTGAAGCTGCTAGTATTGTCTTGTGCTTTGTGAAAGATTCTTATCCCGTATCATCAGCTTTATTAACAGAATTTGAAAGTAATGATGGCTACCAACTCCTGCTAAAAATTTTACTCAGGTAAGCAGAGAGGTTTTTAGTAGGCTTCTACAGGATGGTAAAACTTCATTTTCAGAATGCATGGGGGTCTCTTTGAAAATATGAATCAAAAAAGTAATCCTGTGTGAATGCAAAGCCAGTAATAGCGACCTTGACATTGAGTCTGTCATTGCTGTTTCAGGAAGGGAAGCAGTACATAACTTCTTCTACTGAAACCATAACAGAAGGAGAACAGTATAGGAGAAGTTAGTCTGCAGTGGGATAGGGACTTTCTGAACACAAGACAAAGGTTCTTCAACAGTTAATATTACAGGGGATGCAGGTCAGAGACATTCGTCTCAGTTAAGGTGAACTCTTGATCCAGAAATGCAGTCAGCTAGGGAGGGAAACACCATCTCCTTGCTGTGCAGAAAACAAGCAAGCAAAGCCCACCCAAACTTAGATCTGAAAAGTTTCTGTTCTTCAGAACCAAGATGAGAATGAACATATCAGGAAAAAATCCTTGCTAGTTATCCTAATCAAAAGTACAAAGCAGAATCTGTTGCTCTCCTTGTCAGCTTGTGTTGTCTAAGCAGGCTCTGAGTTTGCTGTGTCAAAACAGTACATTATACACTTCCCCAGAGACACTGAGGGGCTTTGTTCTGCTTTTTGTAATATCATTTGAAGAGTATTTCCAGATCTTTTTGTTTCCATTCTGGCTTTGCCTACTCTTGTACTACTTCTATGCTTGTGAGAGTTCTGGTCCCTGAACAAAGACTGGGGTGGGAAGGGGGGTTTTGAATTTGAATCTAGAGGATTATAATTTGAATCATGAACTCAAAGGCATTTGTGAGTGAGTATGATTTCTCAAGATTTTTGAATGGCACAAAATTATTAACTTCTTTACAGACAACCAGAGATTGTCTAGCTTTCTCTTATAAATAAGCTGTGTTGAAATGCATATTTCTGGTTAAATTCTAACCACATAAGGGGAGAAACACGGGATCTTTTTCAACAAGGGCTATGAATCCCCTCCATCCTTTGTAACTGATGTAACTAGGCTGGGGAGACAGAAATAGCATTCAGGTGCTCAGGGCTTCAGATTAGTCTCCGTTCCCAGCATATACTGCCATAAAGGGATAGACGGAGAGCTTCTTTCCACAGTGTTTTGTGTGACCAGGTTTCCTGTTCTCTGATGTTTAGAATTTTTTTAAGGTAAAAATAATCTTGCTCATAGTATTCTTTCAAAGAGAACATTTGCTCTCTTTTTCTTTTTTCTTGTTTAGATGAAACCAGAACATTTTGTTTTGTTTTCTTCTAAGATTTTTCTAGCTTCTAGTATCAGTGTGTTGCTCTGCCACTAACCCATGCCCAAATGCTGCAGTTTTCCTTAAGAACTGACCCCTCTAAGCAGTACAGAAGAGGATGACACGATAAGCAGGTCTCTGTCCTTTGATACTCTCACTTCAGTCTATGAACTATGGCAAATCTGGGGTTACAATTCAGACTATTTCCTTACATAGGAGAGACATGCCATCTTTATGTCTGATTCACAAAGCTCAGGAAAAATACCACCTTTTTCTTCCTCAGGCCTGAGATTTTTCTGTTATTGATCTCAGTTAGCAAGTTCCTTATCTTGCCAACCATATACCCACCTCTTAATATGAAGTGTCTGTTCTAATTTTTTGAACCCTGACAAAATTTAAATTTTTACTCCCCCAGCCAGACATTTTTTTTTTTAGAGAATTACTTTTTTTAAAGGACACATAACTGGACTAAATTCCAACACTTATCTTCCTTTTCTTCGGAAGACTCTTACAGTGTCACTTCAGTTTCTTTCAGTCTGTAAGTTTTGTTCTGCTTCAGAACTCTACCATGGTGTGGAGTTACTGTATGTAGCTCCTATGTTCTCAGTACCCAATGATATATCCAAAATATTTGTATTATAAAGGTATCAACATATGACTGTCCCAAATTTTGTTCCTAGATGTGAGGGGTTGCATCAAAATGAAGGAGACCCTTATTTGGATGAGATCGTGGACATGCTGACTTGCCTTACAACTTGTGGAAAAACTGAACTGAAAGTTTCTGGCAATATTGTACACCCACAATTACCACACTTTGATTTGGAATGGACACGGTCTTCTGGTACAGTACATATATATATATGTATGTATGTATGTATGCATGTATGTATACAAACATGTGGCTATGTAGGCAGGTCGTAGAAAGATGAAGCTCCATTCATTTTCTGTCTGGATTTGGAGGAAGGAGTATGAGATGGCACCTTCTGATTTATGTGTTTAATTTGCAGGAGTCTGAATGCTCCCTAACATCAAACTGAAATGACCGTGCCATCTGTAGGGTCTGATCCAAGGTCAAGAATACACCTCCCAGTCACATCCCTTGTGTCTTTTATTCTTATTTCCACTTTCAGGCATGAGTTAATATTACAGTTATGGTGATTGCATACTTAACTAGCACTCCTGTAAAAATGATCTCACCTGGTTTTATCCCACAGGAATGACAGTGAAAAACCTCCAGGCTTTTCAGGTGTTGCAGTCCATTTTCCAGAAAAGTAATGATCAGCACCTGTGTGGAAGAATCTTGGCAGCAATTGGTACCATATGGGCTTGGGACAGAGTGAACTTCTTTCTTCTGGAATGGACACTGCAACCTATCAACCAATTTACTGACATAATCCATTTCAAACCATACCCAGTCCAAGTCCAGTTCTTCAGACTGGTGGAGTCCATAGTCCTAGACCTGTCCTATGTCCCGCATGAAATTTTGAAGAAGGTTCAGTATTTGATAAAGGAAAACATAGTACCATTCTGCACCTTAACAGCTCTCCAGTGTCTTCTCAGCATGACCCAGAAGGACCTGTTATTCAGCGATATATTCCGTGACTCTGGGCTCTTAGGCCTGCTGCTGGCACTTTTGAGGAAGCAAGCCAAGATCCTGAGGAAGTCAGGTACAATATAATGCCACTCACAATGTCTTGTATTACTAAGGCAGATCAATAGGAATGAATAATCTCTTTCTACAGTAAATTTATGTATTTTATACACTGAGTAGCTAGATGATGTCTGCAAGCCAACTGGCCTAAATTTTTGACACATTAAGCTGGGTCCTCTCTGAAATCTTTGCTGTTTGTTGTTCTGTTCACTAGTCTAAACAGTTCTGGGTTATTCTTCACTAGTGTATGATGAATTATTCTGGACAGTGCCCTTCAGCCACATTTTTAAACAGGTCTTAATCTGGGGTTCTCCAGGATGCCATCTTGAGACTGGGGCAAGAAAGAGTGTTCCACAAAGCTTAGTTCCTCTGAAAATAACATTTTAATCCTCAGTACTAATGACAGGAAGAAGTTTATTGAATTTTGGCCAGATGTTACCCACAATTACTACCACCCCTTGTGACAGAGTTATATCCTAGCATGAAAACAGGAAGGTAATAGTCCTAGTGTGGTAACTGTGGAGTACAGCTGACTTAGGAGACAGACTCATGTATTTAAAAGTTTATAACTACTATTTTAAAGAAAGAAAAATTCATTATAGTATTTTCTCTACTATATTAATTGGGAAATGCCTTTAAACTTCAGTGCAAAAGTAATTTAGTAAAGGAGGAGGGACCCAAAGTACTAGGCAAAACTTCTGATGCAGCAAGAATAATTGAATTATTTATACACATTTATTCCAAGCAACAGGAGGGTTATGAATATCAACAGAAGTTTTGGAGTGCAGACGTCCATCACCTGCAAGGACACTTAGGTTTGCATTCTTGATATCAGAGAACTAGGTACAAGAGTTTATAAGGTGCAAAAGGATTGCCAGGATTAATACCAAAGTTCTTGAAAACTTACCTTCTGGTTATGAGCTGGTGCATAGGGGCCTTCTTCTGTCTTGCATTACATTTCACCACTTTAGATAGCTTGGTGATGTAAATGTTACAGAATGAATGATGGAATGACTATGTAATTTGTAAATTTAAACACAGGGAAGAGGGACAGGTGAGAAGACATTATCACTACTCCCCTCTCTTTGTTTCCAGAAATTTAGCCTAGACTTTGCTGGAGAACTGGTTTAATGTGCTTTAGCTACAGTTATCCATGTCTTATATATTGTATTATGACTTTTAATATACTGACAGCTGGAACTGATCTACCTGGTCTGGAAGAAGGCACTGAGAAGGAATTAAATGCTGTGATGCTGAAGATGGTGGCTGCCCTTACAGCGAGGTCCGTGAGGAACACAGGTAAGAAAATACAGCTGACTGCATTACCATTATGATATTTAGTGGTAAGTGGCCATGCTCTGAAGGAGTGCCAATAAATTTTCTTACTTTTGTGCTTCAGTCAAAAGCAGAGGACAGAAGCTAGAAGCGTAGGGATAACAGGAAGAAACATGACAAAGGTATTCTTCTCATCCTGGATACTGAACTTTATCCCAGTAGTCAGCTTTTTTCTTTATCAATGTGGATCCTCCTGAAGTGGTTAAATAGAATACACAAACTTAGCTTGTGGAAAACAAGAGTGTGTATGTGACTCTTGTGTATTGTTTGTTCATCCAGATTTTCTTCCATTGTATCTATTACTTGAAATCTTGATTGGATCATATGCATGCTGAGTGACACTCCTACATTAGTGTTGGCATACCTAAGAGGTCTATGTATAGGGAATCTTGTGGAACATAGTAATACAGAAATGAACTCTACTGAATACAGGAATCCACTCAATTCATTCTGGAATCCAAGAATCATCAGGTTTGCAGCATCTTACGCAGGGTAAATATATTGTCAGAAACCATCACAAAGTTCCCTTCCTAAGTTAAAGAGATGATTAAGCTGAAAACTAATAAGGTGTCTTTTTTCTTTTCACTCAGTATTGTATTGGGAAGCTGTCATCTCTGACAATTGGAAACCATAGTCATCCAGTCATTTTATCCCTAGTTGTTCTTGTGCCACTCAGTTGTGTCATCTTTAGCTTAACCGGCTGCTCCTCTTACCTGTCCTGCTGTATTTGTAGAAATGTGGCACTCACACCAACACTGAAAATCTGCCTGTAAAAACTACAAGCAAAGGATAATTTAAGTAACAAATGATACCATATTTTCCCCTAGTTGTTCTGAAGGACTATGGAATGGTGCCATATATCAAGATATTTTTGGATGATGAGTGCTACAGGAGTGCTACTCTCAGTATCTTGGAGCAGCTATCAGTCATCAATTATGAAGAATATATGAGCATTATTATTGGGGCCCTCTGTTCTTCTACTCAAGGGGAACTGTCACTGAAACTAGATCTGCTGAAGGTAATTAATGTGGCTCTCACTTGGGCATTGTTTTCTTGGAAACTTCTTGGCTTTGTGGCAAATTGTTTTTCATGTCACCACAGTCTTTTTATCAAGGTGGTAAATGCAGAATAAAAAAAGAGCCATGGGGCAGATCTTGACTGTGGTAAATCAGGCACTTTGATTTTTAGGAATGCATGTATGGTCAACACCTTCACTCAGTATCAGATTATGAAGTATTTTGAGGACTTAAATAGGAATGCAGAAGGGAGAAATGGAAATGCCAAAGGCACAATTGTATGAGCAATTCTATGTAATGTGACAGAGAAAGGAGAAACAAATGTGAATGAAAGTGCAGATGTGGAGAGAAGATGTGAGATGTAAAGGAGTAAGATTGGAAGGGACAGGGTAGGCATGATATGAACAGCTTGATTCTGATAAGTTTCCAAGGCTGAAAGTTTGCTGTCCTTAATTTTGTCATCTCTTACATACACCAGTGTTGTGGGAAAAGAGATGAGGCGATGGAAAGGAGGAGTTTTATGAATATTTGGAGAAAGAAATTAGAACTATTCATAGCCTCCATTATGTTTACAGAGGGTCTGATCTGTAAGCAATGAAACGGGGGAAGGAATCACTGTACTTTATTTTGTTTTAGGTCATAGGCATCAAATTGAAAAACAGCAGTGTTAAAAGCACTGATTTTAAAGTTTCATTCTACCTTCTCTGCCAAGTGTGAATGGAATTCACCTTTCAGCACAATATAACAATTTCTTCTGTGATGAAAAAAAATGTTACTTTAAAAAAAAAAAGAAAAAGGTTATAGCTTTGATTTGAAACAGTAAACTTTAACGATATCTGTGGAAAAGTTGAGTATGGTGTCCAAACTAATATGAAAATAAATGCAGCTTCAGTGTCTAATTTTGACAAATGATAACTGTATTAAAGCATAATGTAAGCAAATGAATTTATTATCTTTATCCATTGGGACTGTGATTGTGTTACACACAAATTCAGATTGATTTGCTAATGTATATTTAGCTGTTAAAGCCTGAGCCCAAATGCAATTAGCACTGCCGTATTCCAGCGTGGCACGTGGACAATTATGAAGAATAACAAATAATGGAATGTGTGAAATAAATTCTGTTAACAGTAACTGAGTTAGGGGGTTTCCAGCAGACATCAGTTTTATAGATTCAAGACAGAGGAATACTAACTCATAGGTGATTAAATTCTAACTGAGTTAGAGCTGGAGGAAATGTGTTTACTGCTGACCTTCTCTGAAATGTGTTAAAGCCATCCTGATAACTTCAACTCTAAGTTATTAAATTTACTCCCTGTTCAAAAGTCTCTGCCTGGTTTGATACATTATCATACAAAATTGAATGACAGTAATGGAGTTCTCCCTCCCCTTTCAGTTCTGGCAGCCCTTTCCCACAGTCCTAGGTCCTGTTACAGGCAAATATATTTCTTTTAGAAACTGTTCCTCTTCAGAAGGCTGTGAAGTGAAGTTCTTTCATCAGATATCTCTTGGGAAAGAGTAAAGTTAACCCTTTCCAATGTGAAAAACTATGAATTCAAATGTGAAAAGACCCTGGTGCCTGTAGGAACATCATATTTACAAAACGAACTGTGCAACATTCCAAAAACTTGGGATGGATTACATTCAAATATACTAGTCTGTTTCCTTGCAAGCTCTTTTTTCTCACTAATTTTACTTCCACAGCTCTTAATAACTTGTCTAGATTTGTTTTAAAATGGCGAGCCCATAACATTCAAAATTGACAGGTGGCATAAGCTGGTTTTTTATGCATGTGTAATACTGGTAAGTGGCATTCATTTTTATGGCTTTTTTTCCCTCCAAAATGTTGTGCAAACTTTAAAAATACCTCAGCTGAGAAAGATATTATTATTGCCTTCCTTAATGAGGAGAGCCTGCTCCTTGCAGTATTCTTTCTGCCTTCATGAGTCACTGCTTTTTTGGAAAGGGCCTCCCCAGTCATATGAGCAAAAGTTGTGTGGCTTCTCATGCGTATTCAGGGCTGCAGGAAGACTCACTTAAGGAGAGCTGCACCTTCTTGTTGGTTTCTATATGAAGGTATTTACAATTGAATCTCTACTTTCATTTATTTAAGGCAAAGGCAGGTTTCTTGAGAGAGTCTGAGAAGACTGATAAAAGAATAGCCAAAGATATGAAACCACCTCTGGCCAAACTGACTAGGATATGTAATGCGGAAAATTTGATTTCTTTGCTCGTTCTTGTGAGCACTATTCCCTACCGGTCAGGCTGACTCCACAGGTTGCTCCTCAGGGTGCATTCAAGTCTTGGTTGTATGACTCATTGGGTATACGGGGGAAGGGGGGAAGAGAAAAGTTGTGCAATGATGACCTTTATTTTGATCAACTTTTTTTAATTTTGTATTTCAAAGAGTGAAATTTCAATGAAAGAATTCTGATACAAACTTGGAATTTTAAAATATTCTAAAGCTTCTTTGTTCCTTGATTTAAGTGCTCCTTTCTTCTCAATGTTTGTAGTCACTCTTGAGGATACTGGAGAGTCTCAAGAGCCATTCAGCTTTCAGAACCTGCAGTGGATTCAATGCGCTCCTGTCCCTCCTCTCAGATATGGAAGGTGCACTGCAGGACCCTCCATCTGGGCTGTGGGCAGCATTTGGACAGAATTGCATATTGGAGCTTGTTTTCTACACACTTCAGGTGGTAACAGCTGCCCTGCACCTAGACCCTGTCAACAGCAATTTCTTCCAGAGGAGTGGTCTCTTTGAAAAGATGGCAGAGGATCTCGGATCACTTGGATGCTTCTGGACACAAGGGGAATGGCAAGGGGAATGGCAAATTCCTCTGAGCCTTGAGAAGAAAAGGACGTTTGCAGAATTTTTGGATGCAGCTTTCTGTTCTTCAGAACCTTTCCCAATGTGGCTAAAGAACTGCATATGGATACTGAATTTTCTTGATCTCATGATAAAAGGAACCCTCCATCAGGAGAGCTACTTCAAGGAGAGAAAGCCAGAGATGGGAGAAACATCAAGAGGTGATCAGGAGGGACCCCAAACCCAGGAAGACCATCCTGTTGCTTTCAAAATATCAGGCAACAAATTACCTGCCTCTGCCTATAGGCTATGGGGAAACCCTGAGAAGTAAGTTTTTATTTGCTGCAGAAAAGATAGTAGTAAGACTGGTATGTGCATTTTATGTGGTAGTAAACTGAGGTAAGGTGTGATATAACCTAAGAACAAACAAATCAGTGTCACAATCCTAACTCTCAGGCTTCCAGGCAGCAGAAAGGTACTTTTGGAAAAGTAACTGATGGTAAAAATTAGGGCATAAGGATTTAGTGGAGCAGCGGGACACAAAACCCAATAGTTGCAGAGTTTGTGCTGAAGGTTCTGACACCTGCAATATGGGAGCAGGAATGGACTAAGGACAGAATTGCTGGGACTTGCAACTTGTGCTTAGTCTCTGCTTGAGTCTGCCCCAACCAATTTTGACTTTTTCAATTATGTGGAAAGCTGCTTCTAGTCACCTGTTACATTAAAAATAGAAGTTATTTTAAGTTATTTTAAATGCTGCCCTATGCATATGTGTCCAAGCGCATGTGTGCAGACACGCTCTCATTCATTTATTCATGCTGAATTAGAGAAGATTGGAAAAGGAATAGTAATGCTGCCTCTCTCAATGAATGAAGGTTTATATAAAAATATATATCCTTCGTAGGAAGGAAAGACTATAGCAGAAATCAGCACAGCTGTCAGCTGTGAATCAGTTCTGAATAACTTGGATTTCGTAACTTGTGAGTTCTGTCCCTTCATTCAGCTGTAGCTTTATCTTGAATCTCTCAGTCCTTTTATCAAACACGTTTCTGGTTGGAGTTATGCTTAAAAAGATTAAGCTGATAAGTGTGGGATTCCTTCAGCCCTTATTGTAGTTTATTTCCCAGTCATCTTCTAGGTTTAAAGACCAAGACATTAGCTCTGCCACTTGCAGCAGCACTCACTGAAGTCAGCAGAGCTTTGGTTCCCCAAGTACTGGTCATGCTGAGTAAGCATTTCTGGTTATATTTACACTTGTTTGAAGCAACAAGACAAACGTACAGTAGCTTTCTTTGTTCCTTGTGCAGCGGATTTTGAAGTAGTCATGGAGATGTTTGCTCCCTATTACCACTCTTAATTACACTGTAAGCTTCTGGTTAGATACTCAGTGCTGGGGAGAGGAGTTGGTAGTTCTGGAGGAATGAATGCTCTTTTCAAAGTAGATCTTCGTAGCCCAGTTTGGGAGAACATGGGTTAATGTGTAGAGAGTATACAGACGGTGGTAGTTGTGTTGCTTAAATGTGTATATAAGAGAGGATATGGGAGAAAGAGTAGATCAGTGGCAATGCTGGGAAAGGTATGGCTCTGTCTTCCAATTGTCTTTCTCAAGTCATTAGATCTGAAATGTAAAGCAAGGCTTCCTATGTCCTTGTGTTGTTTTGCCTGCTGAGCTGCAAGGCTGTGAAATAACTCAGTAGCATTCATGGAGAAATTAATCCTGTAAATTGGGATCCATTCCATTCACAGTGTCTTTTTCAGGACCTTTTGGCTTTGGTTCTGGGATATGAAGACACAAGAGGGAGCCAAATTAGCCAGAGGTACCTGGAGACTGTCCATGACAAATGTATGCAAACGCAGAAGAGGAACATGTACTGGAAAGCTGTCAATCATCAGGCCACATAGCCTGGATACTTTTCCAGCAGTAAATTTTATGAAAATAAAAATAAGAAATCAAGTTCCCATAGTTTCTGCAAGCCTGTAGTTCCCCTGATGCAGCTTCCTCTCAGCTGTACTCCAAACTCACACTTCCCCCTGAAGAAGGCTTCAGGCTGCAACTATGCAGCTTGAAAGGAGGAACTTGAGTGCAGTCAGTGTAGGTGGCCTGTGATGTCCCATCCTACAACCTATATTTAACATCCCAAAGTTAGTATTTTAGTGCTGGATAATATTCTAGCCCCTTACACTGTCCTGTGGTCAGTGATGCTGCAAGCTGCTGGGCCACAGGGGAATTGACCCTGTCATTCCCATCTCAAAAACAGCCCTCTGTGTTCCTACTCCTGCAGTAATGTTTGAAACACCTTCTGTGACAGATTGGTTTCTGGTTTTCCTTTTGCTCCTGGTGATTTGACACAGCTTGCTGCAAGCTGTGTTAACTGAGGCTGATCTCTCTTTGGGAGGGAAGCCCTTCTTTGTGCCCACCTGAGCAGAATGGCTGCTGCAGCTGCTGTTACTACAGACTCACTGTGCTAATGGCTCTCCAGGTTCTTTGTGACGTCTCATTTTGTCTCCAAACCCTCTTATTTATCTTATTTTTAAGTAGCAGCCAGTGCAGAGCAGATTTGCGATTCATACCATGATACTGGTGACACAGATGGAGTGGAATCATGGGGCTGACTGGATAGCCCTGGGGCAGGAGTGTGAGAGATGGGATATTTGCAGGAGCAAGCTGATATGGCAAGACAGCTTTTGTACTAAGACAGGCCATAAAATGAGGACCTCTGAGGAAAACCACACAGAAGGCTTATATAATATTCTTAGAGACCATTCACCAGCTTTGCTGCCCTTTTCTGGACACACTTCAGCACCTCAATGTCTTTCTTGTAGTGAGGGGCCCAGAATTGCACACAGCACTCGACGTTTGGCTGCACCAGTACCATGTACAGGGGGACAATCACTGCCCCTGGTCCTGTTGGCCGTGCTGTTTTTGATACAGGCCAGGATGTCAATGGCCCTCTTGGCCACCTGGGCACACTGCTGGCCCATGTTTAGCAGGATGTTGACCAGCACCCCAAGGTTGTTTCCAAACCAGGAAGCTTTCCAACCACAATCCCAACCCTATTGATTTTAGTGAGCCTGGATTTTTCTCTTTAACAATGATTAGGGGTTTTGGGTTGAGATGGGAGGAGAGCATATTTTCAGAGCATACTTTTTTATTGTTTGATATTTAAAAGATCACCCACATTCATGTCAAGTACAGATGTATGTATCCACACTGGAGCCACTACTGCAGCAACACATTACACCAGATCTGATTTTGATTCATTGTACAGAAAATATTGCAAATGAGCAATTTATTTGAAAATATCTTTCTTGAGGGTGCAGTAAAAATTATTTGTCACTGTGTGGCAGTGTACTACACATTACTCGTTGCTCTAATGTATCAGATAAGCCTTTTTTTGGAAGTACTAATAAACATGTTTAATTGCAGCCTTTTTACCCTTCTTTAGATCCCTGGTAAATCTCTTCTTTTTTTACATGCTCACTCTTTTACTTGTTTTATACAGTCCATCAAGCATGTTGTGCATTAAATACAGCAGTTAGATGTTGCCTTTGCTTTTCTTGTGAGTTCTATTTGGGAAGGATGTTTCTGACAGTGCACATCACAACTCCAGTTCAGAGGTGCACCCAGAAATGCTGATGATACTCTGAACAGGATGAACCTGCAGTGCCTGCACTGGAGCTTCTGCTATGCTGTGGGTTCATCTTTGAGATACATCTAACGCTTGCATCATGGTATAAGGAGATCTTCTCTGTGGTGTCTCTGATGCCTCAGTTTCTTCCTGTGCCTGAACATACAAAGGTGATAAATGGCAAAAATGAAAACTTGTGGGGAAGTACAGATATTCAACTTTGTTTTACTAATTTGGGCAGATTCTGATGTTGAAAGGGGAGGCTAGCATACTGATTTCACCAAGACTGTCTCATCTTTGCTTGTTTCTGTTATGTTTTGAAGTACTGATATATCAGTGATTCCTATGGTTGTCTCTTTTTTTGTACTGTGAGTACCTTCAAAGGCATAGTTTGTATAAAGAGGCAGCTGCACATGCGCAGGAATGTGCAGGTCCCTCAGATTTGAGCTCATGAGCAGGTAATGTCCTGTCATTTTTACTCTAAGGAAGCTTCCAGCTCATCCAGGTCCTCTGTGTTGTTTGCTTAGTTTCAAATGCTGAGCCTGGTTACTGCTAGGAGGATTTAATGCTGTACTCTGCTGGAACATTGTTGGACCCTCTTTGCTACTGTTAATGATCATTATGATGATGTGTCTTTTTACTGCAGCTTGGAAATGAGAGACTGCACCATTGTACATCCAGGTGCTGTCTGTGTCATGGTGAGGTTGCTGCCAAAGCTGTACAAAGAAGGACACGCTCAGGTGAGTCTGAACATATCAAAGTGACATCTAAACAGTATCTTCTACTTTTCTGTAGCTTTATTTCCAGTTGCTTACTCTTTGTAAATGTGGTGGTACTAACATTTACCTAGAACACTGCCAGGAGGAGCAGCACAAATTTCACTGAGTCAACAGATTAAGAACGACAAAGGCTCTTGGCTATCAGTTTGACTAAGTGTTTCTATACCTGTCTGAGGCCGTACATGGATTTTGGTCCCAGAATACTTACTGTAAAGGCACAGTGTAGAAATCCCTTGAAAATTGTTTAAAGTATTGCTAGTGGACCTAGCAACCAGAACAGTCTGGCTCCTCAGACTTACTGGTCCATAAACTTTCAATGCAGCTTAGAACCTATTTTGCTTTGTCAAACCTTCCATGCACACAACCACTCTGCATAGGCATATTTGCTATATTGTATCTGCTATTTGGTCTAAAATACTTGGATACAGTTAAAGTACATATGAAGGGATTGAAATAAAACCAGATTGTTCATCCAGAGCTATGGAAGGTGGGAGGGCAAGTTACTGCTGGCTCATCCCAACTTTGTTTAGTGGAACCAAGCCATCAGCTAGTGAAATTTTGTTAATTACAGTAATTAATTTCTGAAAATCAAGTAGAACAGTTAATTGGATGAGAGTGTCATCAAGAAGTCAGAGTTGGCTCTAGGACTTGAGCTCTGTAGGAGAGAAAGCCTCTCAGACCCTCAGTAGATGGCAGTGTTCTTAAAAATATGAAGGACTAGAGCACAAATTCCACAACTTCAGTTATGTATTTAAGTATGTTAATCTTTTGTTTCTTTCTTGCTCCTTTTTTCTTAGTCAACAATAAATTATTGCCGGTAGTGTTTATTTAGTATTGCTGTTGTGAATAGGATTATCTTATGTAAAATGGGACCACTGTTATGCAAGGTCCTGATTCAGACTCCAGCTTGGAGTTAACAAATGTCTTGATGAGTTTTTCACCAAATAACCCACAAAAAGGATAGAGGAAAAATAGAATTTTTATTTAAAAGTGGGTGAGAGAATGAATAGAATATTTCAGAGCTTGGGAAGCTCACTGATGCTGCCAGGTACAGACATGAAAGGCTGGACTTCAGTACCTTTAGTCATAACATATACCACTGCATGAACCCTTATGCAATGAGATGCTACTTGGAACACAGTAGCATCTGATGCAAAAGGTGGAACTCCATGGCTAGTGAAGGGGAGCTACTTGGTAGAAGGAAAATAACTGAAGGAATTACTCTTTGGATGGATATATTCTGTCCCAAACAGGGCACTACTCTGTTGGTTTTGGGGTTTTTTTAGCACAACAGTGTTTGGCAGTTATGTGAGAGATGAAATTACGTCTTTGTGAATGGAGCTTTTTACTGCAGACTTTCATGAAAAAATCTGAAGGGGCTTCTTGCTCTGAATTTGAGACTGAGTCAAATAGTAAGTTTTTTAGGAGCAATTTTGGAAAAGAGACAGTAACTCATCCCTTTACTGCCGTGATGGATATTTTAGGCCCAGGTATCCAAGAGTAATCTGGAAAAATCTTCAGAATCAGTTCAGGTCATGTGCAATTCCTTTGCTTTCACTGAATTGGCAATGAGAAAGCACTGCTTTTACAGAAACATTAATGGAACTCAATAAAATTAATGTACTTTGATTCTGACTCTCAGAGATAATATCCATTTCCTGCCAATTTTGCAACTTCTCAGTGACCTTTGTCAGACCCAAGCAGTGATAGGTTGAAGCACTCGAGGCTGTCAGTATAGAAAAAAACAATAGCAAACATTAAAACAGGTGATTGTGCACTTCATCCATTTCTTAATACTCTCTAGAATGAAACTTAAAAGCTGAGGAGAATAGATTTATGGATGTATATTACTGTCATTCCTAGGTATGACCAAAAAACCCAAACATTTGAATGTCATATGGGTATGAAAATTTGCTTAAAACTTTAAAACTGCCCAAGAGACAGTCTTTGAGTCAGTAAACTCTATTTAAAGGACATTACTCATGTTCATGCCTATGACTCGTACTAAACTATTTACCATCAGACTGCATAATGTTTGCCCAAGTAAAAGGTAGACTTTCCTTTTATTAATATGCTGCCTGTTCAGTGATGAAAGATAGCATTACACATTTCAAAAACTAAGTAGAGACAGGTTAGCATACATTTTAGAGATGTGGCCCAGGATATTCACTGTGGTTTTATTACCTTAAAAAGAAAGATATTTCCTCTCAGACACATCTCATCCTTGCCTGTAATTGTGGAACTCTGACTTTTAAGATTCCGGAGTGTCATGCCAGATCTTTCTTGTTTGCAGTGTCAGATACGGAGATCTCCTAGATCTGACAAGCCTGAGTAAGGGAAAGGAAACAACTTCTGAGAAGAGAATCAAAGCATGATTCAGTTCTGTGTTATCATCCCAATAGATTTCTTTTGAGTACAGGAAAAAAAATCTTCACATGATTCATTATAGAAATTATCTGTGCTTTTGTTAAATAATGTTATTGCTTCCACAGCTGAATTTGTCCTTTCTGTTTTCATCCATGTCCCTCCTATGATGAATTGCTGTCATATTCACTGTTGTGAAAGTAAAATATTGTCCATCAAAACGAGTTTCGCATCTTTTAAAAAGACCTTTATCCCTGTTTTAAATTTAGCCTAAACTACTTGTTCTCACTGCAGATGTTAACAGAGTAATATTTTTCAGGTATTTGTATCTCTTAAAAATGAAAATTATTTTTAAATGGAAAAGGTCTCTGACATAGAAGACTGTGTGACATTGAGATTTGTCTGCCTTTAGACTTATATTACTGATTTTACTGCTAATGTAACTGTTAATGTCACAGTGAATTCCTAAATTACTGCACTGTGTTATCTGTGCAAGGAAAATCTTCAGGCATTTGGCCAGATCTTCATTCCCCTTTGGATTGTACAGCTAAGGGTTTGGGATAAAGTAATGGAGAATGGATCAAAACTCTGGTAGGAGGCTTTTAGTTAGAAGTTTGCTTGTTCATTGATCAACCAGCTTCTGAAGCTTTCACTGTTTATACAAACTAAGCAATTTTTTTCTGTGCTTCCAACCCCACAACCTGCCCTTTTATTTGTCCTGTTTCTCTTGCTGTCACTTTCTCCTTAAAAAGCAGCCAGTGTCTCTAAAGTTGCATAAATTCTTGTTGGTAATGTACCCTGGATTGAAGAGACAGGACCTCTACCAAGAATCCCTGGCTTAACTATACTGAAGATAATTTTCCACTTTGTCTTCTATTTCATGCAATCGTATTATTTATAAGGTGGCAGGACAGCTTTGTCTTCCCTTCAGATGTCTGATGAACATCATATTATAGCACTGCAGAGTAGCTTGGAAAAATGAGAAGGAAATGCTGCGTTCAGCTAATACTGTGGGGGAAAAAGTACTGCAACTAAAAGTAAGTGGCTGAGCAAGAGGTGTGTCAGACCACTAGAATTAACAAAAGGATCCTTAACATTAAGAAGAGATTTTGTTGCCTGGCTTCAAATAGTCGAGGCTTGCTAGTGTATTTCCTCTAGAAGGCAGTAGTAACCCTGGTATTTATATGAGCAAAGATCTTTAGTTTCTCTTACATACTGTACTGAGGCGAAATGTGACAAGCCTGATGAAGATATTGTGACTTATTTGGGGCATTTAACTATGCCCTGTCTTGTTCCATGTTTTTGAAAACGTAGAAACAGTTCATGGAGTTCATAATACTTTTTTCCTTGCCTATTTGCAAAGAGCAAAAACCAGTTATACATACTGTCAGCAAAGTAAGTTTTGCTTTTTAGTGGGTGAGAGTTAATCAGCAAAATATTATGAAAGAAAGGGAATGTGCTTGCAGTTGAGAACAGTGCATCAGGAATTTAAGCTGTGATAAATTGATGAATATTTTTATGACATATGATTTTCAGCAGTGACTCAAATTCTCTAGAGACAGTGGGTTTTAAGCTGATGGATGTCTACCTTTTCTTTTGAAAGCACAATTTAAATCTTGGGTCCCTTGGAACTTTTTGAAAGCTCTTCTTTTGATGCCTTGATTTCTTCATTAGTAAAACTAAATCTGTGATTTGTTAGGAAGTTAATTCTAATTTTCTGTGAGGGGCTGCTTCTAGTAAGAGGTACTCTGAGACTGAGAAGTAACTGCTTTCTGCAAATGCACACAGAATTATTGCTGTATCATTCTTTAATCTCAGGAAATTGCATCCTGATGAAGTGAATGCAAACTGCCAAAGGTTCATCATTTTTGCTCATCTTGAACATAGCATAAAAATTCAGCTACCAAGTTTTGAAACTATGGGCTCTTAGGAGCAAGAATCTGGGAAATGCTTAAGCAGATTGGGCAAATTGCTACGTGGCATTTTACCCTTAAGACTCTAATTTGAGGCAGACCTCAACTACATTCTAACTGCACCTTCAATATCCTGATTCACGGTGCAAGTACTATGTGCTAGGAAAATCAATCCATGCATATAGAAACACACAGAGTGGTTTCCTGGACACCTTTAATATTTCTACTAAAATCTCATTTTACTGGAACAAAGATCCATGAAAACGACACGTTTTATTCAAAACAAGGCAATATTGGTATTGACAAAGCTGCTAAGCTAATGAAAACAATCAATTTTTTTTGTATGCCATTATGCTTTTATTGGATTTATTTTGGAGTAAACCAGTTGTTTTACTTAGTCAAGACCTGTGTTGTTCTCTGTTTAGTTGTAGTTTTACATATCTTGATACTTTCCTGCATATAGTCAGAAATGGAGTAAACTATTAATTAAAAGATCCAAAAAGTTATGAGTGAGACTTTGAAACACTGTAGCAGTAAGTGCCTCTCTGAAAAATAGTATAGTTCAGTCTGGTGGATGATTTCTACATGTAATGAGATGCACAGTGAAAATTGCATCCCTGGGAATGAACAGTCCTTCAGACATGCTTCAGATATGAAAAATAGTAATTGAGTTTGCAAAAACAGTATGGATATTGTAAAGGATATGCCAGTATTATTATCTAAGTGTTGCAGCTGGAGACACTTTGAAAACAAATTGTTTTTTGGCTTGGAAATTGTCCTGTAGTAGTTTTGTTTGGTTGGATGCAAAAGAGCTGAATTCCTCTTTACACTTAATAAGCTAGGTTATCCTGAATCCAGTTGATTCTTATTCATGTTATAAAATCAAATCCCAGTGCCCCAATTTGCATGTCTGCCACCACTGTTGTCCTTTTCTTTAAAAGTTTGCATATCTGTTTCCTGGAAAAGTGTATGAGAAAGCAGGAGAGCTCCTGGGAGTGGGGAACAATTCATCTTTGTAAGATTTGTGTTTAAATATATGATCCAGTTACTTTTGTGTGAAATCTGGTTAGGTCAATGGGGTACAATCCATTCCTAACTGGGAACAAAATGCTCTAAAAATAATTTATGAGAAATGGGAGATTTTAAGATCATTAAGAAGCAATAATGAAGTAAAGCTTCAATTCAGCAAAACATGTAGAGAAGTGTTTAAAATTAAGTAAGTGTTTCATGACATTGCTAGACACAGTTTTGTTTTAAAACAGTACTTTTAGAATGAAGAGCAGATCATGCCAGTATGACTCTCCACAGGCTTAATGTTAAATATATTCTGAGTTCCTGGGTTGGTCTTGGAGCTTATGCCTAATAAGCTGCCTTTGGTGGTGGTCCCTTCTTTAGAATGACAGCCGAGAGCCCTGGTCCTTCACTACCGTAGTGTTGAGACACGAAATCTGAACTGTGGATGGCTGAGCAGCTCTCAGATGAATATATGGATACTGTGCAAATGCAGAACTTTACAGAAGAGCCATGCAGTTGCACTTGAGCCTCTGGCCTTAGGGGCTTCTTTTCTGGGCCAGATTTTTACATCCAGAGATTTGACAAATGAAAAAAACAATTAAATAAAATAAATCAGCTACCATGTGCAATTCTAGTTCCAACCCTCTGACTTCAGTTCTGTGTCCATTTCAGCTTTCACAGGAAATCCAATATGCTGTGGTTGATCATATCCAGTCCCTGGTGAAGTCAGAAAAGAGTCGTCAGGTGATGTGTGAATCTGGATTGCTGAGCACCATCATAACTTCCTGTCAGGATGCCTTCCACAATGAGAGTCATCCGCTGCATCTGCCCCTCACTAGAGTGTTTGAGAAGCTTGCATCACAGGCTATTGAACCAGATGTGTTAAGGTATCGGATTGTATCTAATGGAACAATTTGCTTTAGTGCAATTTTTTGTGAAGTTTATATAATAATCAGATGCTTCACGTAGTGCTCTAATTCAGCAAGACTCAGCCTTTTGTTTCAAGTCTCAGTTAATACTACTTTCTCATTGATTGCAGGATATGTGCTTAAATGACTTACTGAAGATGGTGTGTCTATAGTGTTCTGCTGCATCATCTCTGCAGGGGTTGTAAAGCCATTTATGAATGAACTAATTAAGTAATTGCAAAACAACTTCATATGGAGAAGCTGTTTTCTGAAGAGTAAAAGTGACTTTCTCTTATCTCAGATCCACATCAATAATAGATGCAGAAATAAAAAGTGTAGTCTTGTTTCTCAGTCTTTAAAATTTGGTGTTCAATAAGAAAGTTGTTCTCCAGAGGGCTGAGCTGTATCTGCCTGGTTGCTGTGACTCCAAAGTGTCTGGCTTCATTGTTTTCCTTTTTTTAGTTGCTTTCTTAATTTTTTTTCTTTTCACGTTAGGCAATTCCTTCGGCTGGGAGGTTCTCCAATACTACCTTCCAGGCACAGCACAAACAAGACCAACGTCCTTTCAGCTAATGCAGGTAAGCACATAATGAATAGCCTGTTGCTGATACAGTGGCTGGGTTATAGATGTCTCCAAAATGACAGGAAACTTCCCTTGAGTAGGTTGCTCCAAGACAGGCACAGTGAAGGTGGAGTATGGCTGAAGTTCTGTACTGGCTATTGCCCAGGTTGGGTGGTACTTGACCAACACTGAGAGATCAAATTATGTAATATCTTAGCTCGAGCTAGATGCTGATTACAGACTCAGACTTTCCTAGATCAGACATGGAAGTGATCTATAAAAATACTAATGATATTCTACAAACCAAGGAGGCTGTCTCATGGTTTTGCAGCATGTTTTTCTTGTGATTTATATCTAGAAAGAGAATAAAGATGTAAATAAAAAGACACTGCTTTTTGTAGTCCCTAGGATATCCTAGTAGACTGCCTTGCTTATACAGGCTATTTTCCAGCCAAGTTCTCTGCTATAATGTATTTTGCAGGTGAAAGGCTACAGTAATAGCATTTGGCTCTTATACTGTTCTCATGCCCATGAGACACCTGATACAGCATAGTATGAATTTGGGTCTTATGTTCTTTGCAGTCATTCTTCAAAGCCTCTCCCACATGTTGCTTGCAACTGTTCTGTTACAGCAGAATTGAATGGTCTGTGTATAAAAAAAATGGAACCAATGGGTTGGGGACCTTTTTTATCAGCAGTGGATCTATCTGAAGATGTGTGGGGAGAAAATGCAGCTATCATTTCTGTAGAGCTCATCTCTCCTGCCAGCCTCGCATTTTGAAATTCCTTTAGTGCAATTTTTTTTGTATTTCTGCAGGATGCTGAGGATGTGTTATTTCAAGAGCATGTAGGGCTGTTCTTAGCAGTGATGAATAGAATATGGGCAACATCTGTGACTGGAAAAAGTGTTGCAGACGTTGATCTGGTTAGACACTCTATTGATCTTGTAGGTTCAGAAGAGGACACAATGGGCAATAAAACTGATCCTCAGACAGTTGTGCCTGTCAGCAACTCTCCTTGGGTGTCTAAGGGGTCTGCACTTGCACTCCAGACTGCAATGAGTCTCATCTCCATGACATCACCTCGAAACTTCCAGCTACACAGCACTGCTTTGGCTCCATCGTTTGTGGAGTTTGACATGTCCATGGAAGGCTATGGGTATCGTTGCTGTTGCTTTTTTCTTGAGCTGCTCTGTAGTCTCCAAGCCCTTACTCTGGACACAGTAACTATTCACATCTCTCTTTGTCCTAACCTATTTATGTGCCCTATTGCTGCATCCCTTGCAGCAATTTTGCCAGCCTGTTTTGTTATTGCTGATAGCCTGCTCTCTGCCTTGCTACCATGATTCTGCAGTATTAAGTGGCTGGTGAGTTTCAGGTATGATTTTACATTTTTGATGAATGGGTGCTTGCTTCTGTAGGTGTTTATACCTCCCTACCTTGGCCACTGTTATGGGACCCAGTGCAGACCAATCTGTCTCAGGAGGAATTGGCATGGGTAAGCACTGTGACTCAGCTGTAGCTTCCTGTAAGCACTCACTTTTCAACCCCACTGGAAGCATTCAACAGCTGTAAGAAACGGCAGCAAATAAGCTGTGTATTTCAAAATATTTCTCTGTGTCCCAGACCAGCTCTGAACTGTATAATTCAAGCTGCTCAGCAAAATGCAGTATCAGATGTAGCTTAATAGTGTGATAAATTAAGATTAACATTAGCAGTAAAAATTTAAGGCAGGCTGCTGAGAAAACAGTCTTAACAAATCAGAGCCACCAGATTTTTGGGTGATCTCCCATGGCAGCAATAGCACCTGTCATTTAATGGGGTTCTCCTAAACATCAGAATCCTCTGTTGGGTGAACAGTGAAATGGCTGTACCTTTTGCTTCCTGAATTTTTGCAAAATTTAAGAACTTGTTTCTGGCTCAGTGGTTCCTAATTGATGAACTCCATAGCATGGAGTTCTAGTAGTCATTTCTTATCAGTCAATTTTAGGTCATTTACACATATGCACAGACTCATATGTGCAGTCTCTGTGATATTGAATACAGGCAGTAAAATCTAATAGAACAGAAATTGAACCTCATAATCTAATGTCAGTTCTTGCATGGTTTGGACTACAAATGCAACAGAAAGCAGTTTGCTAGTGGCTGCACAAGGAATACAACTTCCTTGCTGCCTTTTTGTTTCCTGTCTACAGGCACCAGAATGTTCCCTCCCTCAAGTGGCCTGACACTCTCCTGCTGGTTTCTGATTAGCAAGTTTGGGTTGGTGCACAACAATCACCCAGTCCGTTTCCTTACGGTCGTGAGGCACGTGTCAAGAACGGAGCAAGAATTTGTTTGCTTTTCTGTAAGCTTCTTCCCACAGGACCTTTCTTTGGTCATTTCCACAGAAGAAGTGGAATTCCAGCCACTTGGTAAGGCTCTTTTCACTTAATCTGCAGTGCTGTGTCCTCTGATTATCTAGAGTTTTTCATTAACAAATTTCCTCTTCTTTGAGGTACTCAGGATATTAATGAGATTTACCTCTTCAGTTTTCCTCCTGCAGCCTGTTGTGATTGTAATTCTTGGCCATGTTTCGGTTTTAAGTTTGCTGTAGGTATTGTGAATTACTTTTTGGCCTGCAATATTCTATGGAAAACTTTTGAATGTCAGTTATATTGTTGTCTGCAGTTGTGGAGACTGGGCTTGAACCAGCTGGTCTTTGCCTGTTCTGTGTGATACTAGGCAGGTTTGGAGAGTAGGACTGAGGATTTGGGGTCTGATCTAGCTTCCTAATGAAACAACTCATTTCCTCTCCTCACTTTCAGAATGTTTTCTATCATATCAGCCTGTTAGTATTTTTCCATGTTGATATTTATTCCTTTTTCCTTATTGAGTAGAGTAGGTACATCAAATGTAAATGTGAATGAGTATTCCAGAGGGGGTTGAGAATGGAGTAGGAATAGTAGCTGGGATTTTTTTCATGCACAGCTGACTTTGTATGAGTGCTCTAATTGCTTAGATGTTAAAAGTTCCAGCTTGCTTCTTTTCATAAAAGCTACAAATTAATATACAGATTTTTATCATCTCATAAATTTACTAGGATTTTTCTTTCTGTGTCAGGTAACTCAGTGAATATCCTGAGGGATTCTCCTCTTAGAGAATATGTTGACTTTGTCCTAGTTCAGTCTAGTTTTGCAGCATTGAGACAACTAGCAGGTTGGGAGGATGGCACACTGTATGCTGGAGGGATCTTAGGTGTTGTGCAACTCTTAGGTCCTGATAATAGACCTTCAGGGAGCATTTTAAAGATGTTGAACATAATAGAATGAAATCATACTCTACCCACAGAGAGTCATGTTCTTTCTGTCACATTTGATAGTTGTGTACCAGAAGCAGGGGAAGGTGGGAGACTTTCTGTTCAATTATCCCTATTTTTGCTGTTACAGATATTATGGAACCTGAGGGTGAGGTCCTAAATCCCTCCCCATTTCCAGGGCAAGTCCAGTTTGGCTGTGGTAAACTGCTGGCCACTGGTCAGTGGCATCATCTCACAGTGACAGTTGCTAAAGAAGCAAAGAAGACCTGCATTGTGTCAGCTCATATAAATGGTCAGATGCTTGGCTGTGCAAAGGTAAAGACTCTCTGCATAGATCTCATGCCTGACATTTGCCTTGCATTGCTTTTCATTCTCATCTCACAAAGCGTCTGTAACTTTTCAGTATTAATCTGAGAAACTCAAAGCATGGTGATTTGCTTATATAACATGTACCACTGTGCTGAGCATCAGTGGGGTCAGAAATTCATACAAAACCGGGTATATTTGTGCTGCTTTTCAGAAATGTGTTTTCAGCTTATACTGCTGCTTTGAACTAGTACCCTCCTCCCGTCTCAGCGTGTAGATAACCAGGGCAATTTTGAGTGATGATACTCCTCTGAGAGCTGGCGTTACCTTCGTTGCAGGTAGCTCAGGGTTATGCTGAGCTACAACTGAAATTCAGTTGTACCCTTAGGCCAAAATTTTCTGAGTTCACTAGTGATTTTGAGGATCTATCAGTTTAAACTCAAGATTTGCAGAGGTTGGCAGCAATAAAATGTACATCACATTAAAGTGTGATCAAAGAACCCTAAACTGAAGATGCCTTGGATTTAGGCTAAAACCTGCAAAGGTGGTGAATTATGTAGGGACTCTCCTTTTTTTCTTTTGAAGAAAGGTCAGAGACAAATAAGCTTCTGTGACTGGCCAGCTCTTTGCAAGAATCCAAAGATGGGAGGAATTTCCTCAAGCATTTTACATGGTCATGTTTCAAGCCATCCTCTTCCTGTTACACCCATTGAACAATCAACTGATGAGTCAATGGCCTTTTTCCTGCTAGCACACTAAGCATTCAGGAACAGACAGATGTTCCTCTGAGTTAGTTATTCAGTGTGTGAGATTATATCATCTCATGAGTTAATCGCAAATGTTGGTGTACTGGTATTTCCCCTAAGGTGCCATTTCTTGTGATCCTGTTGCATAGCAGTCAGTTCTCAGGTTGCATGAAATATCACAAGAAAGCAATCCAAATGCACCTGAAGGGTTCATAATCTACAGGATAAATGAGAATAGCCCCTGGTTTATATTATCAATATCATCATGCTCCTCGTTTTGAAGCTAATCTCAAATTATTTCAGAGATCTGATTTTTGCATTTTCAGTGCTGGAGGCTGGCAGTGTTGAAAATGCAGCCTATTTCTATTGCAGCTGTGGTGGGTGTGGTGGTTTTTTGGGTTTGTTTCTGAATAGAATTCTTTTATTAATTGAAACTTGTAACCTTGGTCTCTTCCTTCTTGTTCCCATATTTCAATTGACTGTCAATGAATGCAAAGCTCACTTGTGTATATTACACTTCCCTTGTAAAAGCAACCTGTTTAATTCCAAACATTCTCTTTCTCATATTTGAGAAAAAATGGTATGTCTTCTAAGTGCCTTTTGGGACCTATATCCATTTCAAGAATGAAAATTTAATTTAATTTGCCTTCCTTCAAATGAGACTGAAAGTCATCAATAAAACTAGGCCTAAACATTGCAATTGATTAAAGAATTCATAGCAAATGCGTTTAACATACAGTGAAACAACTCATATAAATAAAAAAAGCTTTTGGTGAATAAAAAATTGTCCCAGTGCTGGGGTCTCTGACATGATGCAAGTCTTCATCTTTATATGTACAGTGAAGAAATGATTGTCTGAGAAATTAGAAATGCACAAAGGCTGTTAACAATACCAAAGGCTGGTTTTGGTTGGTAGAGCTGGGGGTGGTAGTTACTGTGTTGCATCCAGTCTAATATTTGTTCACTCAAGTGTTCACTCAAGTCCTAACTCTTAATATTGACCAGCCTTGTCCTCTACATATCATTAGCCAGAAATCAGTAAATTCTAGGAGTCACTCATGCTAACAGCAAATTGTTAAAGGCAGTACAATATAGTTTCTCTCTACCAAAAATTTCCGACTACTTACTATTAGAGCTGTCTGCATTTAAATAAAATAATACACACCATTTAGGAGGCCAAATCCTTGTTTTGATACTGAGAATGAATGGCCCTATTTCCTAAACAATGTTAGCTTCACTGAAGCTAACTGGTGCACTTGGACAATCTATACTCTTCAAAAGCTGTTTATTCTCTAGGTGCCAGTACAAGGTGCTATCTGTAACTTGTCTTTCCGTGTTGAAAGTCACAGTCTGAGTTATGAAGTTTAGAACAGGAAAAATAAGTCTGGGTCAAGATAGGGATTTTCTTTGCCAATACTTGAAATTATTTTGACTGTGTTTTTTGAACAAAAATTAAGCTTAAACATTCCAAAATGCTTATGTTTATGGTACTTCTCAAAGTCCAATTTCTAAGCAGTAGTTGATAATTATGTTGCACAGCTGACTGCGACTTCAATTAACAAAGAGGTGACAGGCAGTACCTTACAGGGACAGGATCCTAAGGCACCCTGAGTGTATTGGGGTCCTCTCAGTGAATTCTTTCCCTGTTGCAGATGCAGTATCTCCAGCCCTTACCAGGTAGCTGCATTTCCATGGAACCCTCTTCCTTTATTGATGTCTATGGGTACATAGCTACTCCTCGAATTTGGAAACAGAAGTCCTCCTTGACCTGGCGCCTGGGCCCTACATACTTGTTTGAAGAAGCCATTTCTGTGGAAACCATGGAGGTGATTATTAAACTTGGCCCGCAGTATTGTAGCAATTTCCAAGCAGTACAGCTTCAAGGTATGTGATCATTCTCATGTCCACCACTATTTGTTTTTCAGGGGAATGCTTTTTTTGTTCTTACAATCTGTTATTAGTGTTCCAACTGTGTCTAGAGTTCACTCTAAAAGCCTGGAAAACTGCATTACTGAGTGTTGTACAAGATTGTAGCAAGATGCACGAGGATCTTGTAACATACTGTGAATGGGGCAGAAAAAGAAGGGCAGGAATCCAGCAGCAGAAGGAGATGAAGAGTAAAGAGGGACATCCTGAGTTGCAAGATTGTGATTTCTATTTGAAAAAGTTAAAGCAGCAGCTTTAATTGAGACATTCTGCATTTACAGTGCTACAGAAAAAGACAAAAAAAGAAAAAAGAAAAAAAAAAACCCACAGCAGAAAAAGAGGTATCAAGTTTAATTGCAAATGCCTGCAGAATAGGAGAGAGCACAGGGGAGAGAGGGGTAGGGCAATAAGTTACATTCCACTTAATGAAGGGTCTTTTTAACTAAAGTATATTGTTAGCTTCAATTATTAAACAGGCAGACAAAACAGTTCAGTTATTGATTACTGTTTATTCAACAAGTAGTGCATTCACCTCTGTACTAGAGCTTGGGATGACATGGGATGACATGGGATGGTCATTTCTCATGTGAAAAGAGCAGAATAATCTTACCTGGTGATGCTCCGGCCTAAAACAAAGGGAAGGCTGTCCAAAAGTAGTCCTTCAAAATGCTGTCTATCTACACACAAAAAATCTGCAAGTCAAGCATGGGGAGGGGGTTGTTGAAAGATAAATCGTTTCGAAGTACAACTCTAAAATGAAAACATTACCAATAGAAGTCAGAGGGATTTGATTTTTGAAGCATTGAGTCTTTATGAAATCTGGGGTGCTTGTTCTCTGCACAGATGGACTTTTGTACTAATCATGGATTATGGCAATCTGATTCCAGAGATACCCTGATGCAGGGAAATCAGAGAGCAACATACAAGATGTGACATCATAATTGTGAAATGATCTCACTCTCTCTTCCCCCAGACTCCCTATTCCATCAAAAGACCTAAAGGAATTTGTCAAATGGAAATTTTGACTTAAAAAAAGCTTCAGCACAATGCCCCAAAATACTGTGTTTTGTTCCTTAAAATGGATTTATGACCTTGTTGCGAACACCAGTGTGAATTGTTGTGTCCTGTGTCCACTTCATTGCTTCTCACTAATCAGCATCAGTTCTGAAGAGGCTTAGCCATAAGACCATGTCCTGCTGGAAGGGAAATAGGTGACAATCTTGGGGCATTTGCTTATAGTTAATCTTCATGTGGAATATGAACTAATGCAAAGTTTCTTCAGACATTCATGGTCTGTCTTGTTTTAGGTGAGGACCAGTACAGTGATACTGCACCTCTGGTGGCAGAAGAGAAGATTTCTTTTGGAATCAATGCTGTGTGCTCAACCCTTACTACAGCTCAAGATATAAAGAGCTCCTACAATGAAGTGGATGGCCGGCTGATTGCCAAAGAGGTCACAAACTTCCCTTGTCTTAAACAAGTTTTCTCTTGTTTCTGAGCAGTTACCTAAAGCAAAATTTGTGACTTTGTCTTAGTTGTGTACATTCAGTGATTTTTTTTGAGCTTCTTTTTCCATTCCTTAACTTCATTCTACTCATGGGTTACTTTTCATCTGTGGAGTGGAACAGATTGGACAGTCTGAACACAATGTTAAAAGCATTTCTTGAAACAGGAACAGAAGCCGTAGTTTTTAGGTCTTATGATAATTTGTTTCACTCTATGTTTTCTTAATGCCTTCACAAGGACTTTTCACATGCTATTCTATCAGTCTTGCTAATGCCAGGTCTACTGACATGGGAGAGTAATGGGGTTCTGGGATATTGTAGGTGGGTAAATGTTTGTCCTAACAATCAACTTGTAACAAAAAAAAGATGACTTTCATAGGCTAAAAGTATAAAAATAATCTAAAGTGTTAGAGCATGCATTTGTTGCTTTTTGTCTCTCCAGTACTACCAAGATGAGAATGTCTTTTATCTGTTTTAGATTGGGATTAATTCTCGGGACAGTTCAACTCCAATATTCCTAGCAAAGAATATTGCTGGACACCTCTCGGGTTCCTTGCGGACTATTGGGTCAGTTGCTGTGGGCCAATATGGTAAATGCACTATATCTTAATGTTTAATACTTTTTAAGAGTGGAGCTTTTCTCTGTTGAATAACAGATTTAGTCCATGTAATTTCCTGATAGAATAACACTGCAATTTCCTAGGGGTAAGAATGTTCCAGTCCTCTCCAGCAGCTACCAGCCTGAACTTTATTGGAGGCCCTGCCATTCTCCTGGGTCTCATTGCTATGGCCCGTGATGACCACACCATGTATGCAGCTGTCAAAGTCCTGAACTCCATCCTGAACAGTAGCCCACTAAGTGAAAAACTGATGAGGCACATGCATGGATACCAGGTAGACACTCTTGTTCATTCACTCTGTTATAGTCCTTCCTGTGGAGAACTTTGTGCCGAAACCTATCGATGGCAATGAACCAAACATACCCTGGCTATAGGCACTTGTGATTGGAACTTCATAAGTTATAAGATCTTTGAGAGGGGGATATAGGATAGTGCTCTGTATCCCATGCATACAATCTGTGGGATCCTCTATAACAAATATCTGCTGATGGGAAGGTGAGGACGAATGCCTCTTGGCCAGACATGATCTAATAAACTAAATAAGCCAGTGCAGCAAATTTGTGACTGACCCACCCTTCACCTTTTACCTACACACTTGATCCCTCCCACAAAAGACCATTTTTCAGACAGGTTTTCTTCTTCTCCTTGGCTCATACAGCCTAAGATTCTTCTTTACAGACTGCCCAGTGTAGGGATGACAATGAATTTCTTTGACTCAGTCTTCACTGTGTATTAGGAACTGGGCTGGTATAAATAACTGCCGTCTGAATTTCATTGATTAGATCTGTCCCAAATTAGTCTTTCAAACATGAAATCTGTGGAAATTGAAGATTTTGGTTGTATGTAAACTATCTATGCATATAATATTCTATGGATCGAGGCTCAAGTATGAAGCTTCAGTTTAGTATCATTTACTTCATGCTGTGCAGGCTAAGCAGAGAACTCTTAGGGAACAGGGAAGACTCTTTAACACAGAAGGTTTCAAACAAGACTCTTAACATTAGGGCATCAGGATTGATTTATTATAAACTTTTCATTTTCCCAATTTGCAAATTGTTCATAAATTGGTCATGATTCATATGAATATATTTATCCTACTTAGATATTACTTGCCCAATCCTTTCTTGTAGGTGAATGCAGCCTTTACATTGGTGTATAAGCTGTTCCTTTTGACTTTGTGCTTCTTTGTGGCAGATCATCATATTGCAATGGAGTGCTTTTGCTTTTGTTTGGAGGTCTGAAGTTTTTCTTTGAAGTTTTTTTTTTAACAGCAAACTAATAAACGTGTCTTGATATGTATTTTCTAATTAATGTCTATTGCTCCCAACCTGTTCAAAATGTAGTGGCTTTCTGAATGTTGTCCTCATAGTATTAGGAAATCATTAGATAATCAAAGGCAGGCTCACTTGAGAAACTGGTAATGTTTCACAAATGTCTTTCATTTGGAGAGGTGAACATTAATATTTTTTAAGTTAACACCATTTGCAAGCAACTAAGAACACATCCATGAAGAATAGCATCAAAAACCTACATTGGTTATTTACAATTATATTTGTATGTTCCTTTTTGTAAATTCCATTCAACATAACATGGTGTGTATTTTGCTTCTGTTCAATGCCACAGAACTCCTTCAAAAACTTACCCTTTTACTTACTGCACGAAATTTCATGTGTGGACTGAAATCTTCACTTTCTTCATTATGCTTATGCAAAATGTATCCATGTATGAGTAATACAGCTGAGCAAACTGTGTGTTTGCCTTGAATTAAAAAATAACGTTATATTAGTTTATAAATACAGGTTTATATTCGCAGATACTTATTCAGTCTTCCTTTTTCAGTTGCTGACCTATCTGTTGAAAAGGAAGACAAAGCTGTTAAACAATAGGATTTTACAGTTAATGTTCTCCCTAGTGGGCACAGCTGAGCTTGGCTTTGAGTCTTCGGTCATCAAAAATTATAGTGCATTCCAGTATGTTCTCTGCAACTTTGAGGTAAAACTGTTGATGTTGCTTTGTGGGTTTGACTGTTTTAAAGATGGCTTTATAGTATGATGGTTTGGTTTGTTCATAGCACCTCCTGCATCCAATATTTGGGATGGGGTTGAGTGTTGGGGTTTTCCACACTGTGGCTCACCTGGGGAGATGGCAGCTTCCCAGGTCTGAAGGAACACTCCCAGAGGGCCTGCTCCTCAGGGCTATCTCTGGAGCAACAACTCCCCACACTAGGGAGTTCCCCGTGCCTACAGGTTGTGTTGCAGAAACACTGAGATTTATGATGTTATCCTCCCTGAACTACTTTTAATTGTTTCCCTGCCACAGGTACTGTCCTCACAGCTCAACAGAGCAGTAAAACCTTTGCTTTCCTTTGTCTTTCAGCTTTGGATGAAAGCACCAGAAAATCTTGACCTTGTTCTTCTTTCCCATCTTGTGGAGATCTTGCAGTCTTCCAGGTATACAAACTAGTGTTTGAATCAGAAACCTGTGTGACAAACTCAGTCTGTAACCTGAAGCTGGAACTGTGAGATGCCTATGAAGGGTCCAATCCTAGTCAGAATCAGTGGACTCTGGGAGTGAATAATATCTGTATTTCTCTTTCAAGCCTGAAGTTAGTGATTTGACCAGCCCCTGATATGACTTTGGGGCCAGACTGGGCAAAGATACCTGGTGACCTGGTTCACGTGGAACTACTGCTGTACAATGAAAGTTTAAATTTCTGCTGGGGAGGGGAAAATTAATGTTTGAATTGAGTGTGAAATAATTTTTAAAAATATGTAATTAAAGTTGTGTTTAAAACCAAAACATAACCCAAGAAGACTTTTTATAACAGTATGCTTTTTTAATCATCTGGACTAGAGTTAAATGTATCCAAAGAGATACAGCATGGCAGAGGGGCTGAGTAAAGCTAGATTCCTGCTTTTTGGCAGCAGAGAGCTCTATGCAGAGCTGTCTGGTGTCCCTTGCTGAGTTTTACAGGAATAGCATTTATTACCACCAACTCACTGCTTGCAAATTCAATAACACTTTCTTTGAACTCATTGAAATGCAGCAGTTACTGGGGGAGAGGGCAGAGGAGAAGGTAGAACACACAAAGTAGTCTTCTGATCTCCATCACTGACACATGTTCAATTTATCTGGCAGTGTTTGAAATGTTGTCAAGGCAACATTAGAAGCCAAAGGTGCAAAATATCAATGCAACCTGAGAATCCTTTTAGCTGACACTCAGCAAATTTGGTTCTCACCAGTAAAAACTTTTACAGTCCCTGTGCTTTTTTACAGAGATGGACGTCAGAATGTTGCAGTTGCCTACCAGGTGCAAATGGTGCCCAAGCTTGTTTTCCTTTTCAATGATCCTGAAATAAGTAATTCCAAGATCACTGTGGCCTGCACTATTCTCTCCCATCTGTTGCAAGGATACTTTAATACACGGGATGTTCTCAGGTAACCTTGAAGTCTATAGCTTTTCCTCAGATTGCAGATTAGTTATAGTCCTTCTGGTACTGGAGAGAGCTTGATAGTAGATCTTTCCTCACGTAGGAACTCCAGATTTCTATGGAGTTTGGTAGAACTCCAGATCTTTGGCAACTGTAGGATCTCCACTGATGAAAAACTTTTTCATGCCTTCATTCAGTCCAACCTTATATTTGTGTGAAAGTGGGTTGGGTGATGACCCTTACAATGGTGGCACAAACAGTTCTGCAGGTTTGACTGGAACTACTCAAAGTCTGTACTTAATATTTGGTTTCATTAAAGCCTTTCCCCCAAAGTATCACTATAGTATTAGACTTGGCCCCAATGAACTACCTACCTAATCCTGTTGGTTTGGTTTATATCCCAGCAACAATCCTTTTTGTTCTTGAATTTCTATCAGTTTTGCTTATCAGGATTTCACAAAGCAATGAATTTAAATCCTAGTTTGTTCTTCACAGAATGTAAGTTCTTCACTGCTTCATTTTATATTCCCAGTCTAATTGTATCAGCCTGTAGCTGATGAATTGAGGAGGGTCCATATAGTGCTGTCTACAGCCACCTAACTCCAGGGAAATGCACTGCACAGATGGCAGCTCTGTTCCTAAAGCTCTGTTTTTAATAAAATGTAGAAACAGAGTTGCATGTCAAACCTGTGGTCTCTGCAATAAGCCTTTAGCTCTGTTGAAGGATATGAGCATCTCAAATAATTAACTGTGGAGTAAGCTAGTATGTGAACTTACTGCTTGCCAGCTCTTTTGCGGATGTATGTTCCTGGATGTATGTTACCTGCATGTATGTTCCTACCCTGGGCTTGTATGAGTTAGCAGATTCTTTTTTCATACAAGTGAAAGTCGTGGACTTAGTATACCAAATTTGCCACATTGTTAGGAGTGTGAATGAGCATTTTTCTTAAAATACCATAATTTGTTATTCTGTGGTAATTTGATTGGTTGTCAGGCCCATGAGTGCTGAGTGGACAGAGACAATCCCTACCCTCCTAGCTCCAGGACAGCAGAGACTATAACAGGTTCTCAGCAGCACTGAGCCCTGAGAAGGATGCTGGAATTTCTGCTGGTCCCAGACTTTTGACAGATCTAATTGGAATTGCTGTGTGGACCATTCCTGTAGAAGAACTGGTGTTCTGACCTCTTAAGAAATGCCCTTCTTGTGGGCAGGAGGAGATCATGCACTTTCACTAATATCACATTAATTTTTTTATCCTTGGAATCAGGTAATGTGTTAAAGAAAACTACAGGTGAAAAGAGGTTGCCAGTCCTCCTCCCCGAGTACCTGCTAAGGTTTCTTTGCTCTCCTCTATTTGCTTGGAAACCAAGTGATGATAACAGTGACACCTGAATGCCACAGGCAGTTCAGAATCTTTTGTATGAACAGAGTGCTTAACTCAGTATTGCTTTCCTCATGATGAAAGACCTTTAAAATAGATATAGAAAATTTTTCCATTTTTGTTTCCATGTTGGATTTGTAGGTAGATGACCCTTTAATTTGCTTCCTAGTTTATGAACTTTTCATTCCTATTTCTGCAACAACTAGAATTTCCAATAGTTGTTAACAGTCATCATTAATGAATATTGAGATTTGCATGTAATCTCCAAGTAATTAAATTAATGTCTTTTTGCTGACCAAAACTGCTTTCCTCTTTCTCTGCAAGGATTGGATTGTTCCTTGTTTATACCTTGAAACCTTCTTCTGTGGATGAAAATCAGCTTTTCCTGGATAGTGTGGCTGAGATGCCCAGTGAAGGTAGGGAGCTACCTTACCTAGCTTGTGTTGTCATAGATGCTACAGAACTTCCCTGCTTCCCCAGGGCCTAATGAACCATAAATGCAATACAGTGCTTCTGCCTCCTGTGGCAGGAAGAGCCACAATTCAAGTGACTTCATATGGAAAGGGACAGGCTGCACTGAGGTGACCCTTTTGCCCTCATCTCTGCTAACAGGCCAGCAGTACTTTGGCAGCATTGTCCAGAGCCTACATAATGTTGGATTTCAGATATACACAGAGAGGAAGGACATTAAATTGAAATTGCCCCTGAACTAACCTGTGGGACTGTTATAAGGAATAAAATTTCTTGGATTTTCTGTGAACACTTTGCTACACTTACAGTTGTAGGAAATAATTGTAGCTCTGCGCCTTTTAAAGTTTCTGTGTATTTATGTCAGGGTCATGTGGGAGAACATCCAGTCAGTTGGCTTTTCCATTGTGATATTTCAGTTAAGGCTACATTGGTTATTGCACCTCTAAATCAGAGATCATATTAAGAAGATGCTGATAACTGTAGTTTTTATATCTAGACATCACAGTAGGCAACACAAGTCAGACTGCCTGTTTACATTTCCCTCTCTAGTTAACCTGAGATTGCTTCCTATTGAACATGTAGTCTGAATGAGTTTTAAATAACTTTAAAGAGAGGACTTTGACAATGTAAGCACTGGTTGTTTCTGATGTTAGCAGGAACTCTTATGTCTAAGATTTGATGTCTGCATCTTTTTACTCTACAAAAAACCTGATATAAGTGTTTCTACTGGGTTAACTTGGTGCAAACAAAGTTGTTCATCACAGCAATGGAACATGTGTTTTGTCTCTTCATTACTCTTTATTACTTTCTGATATCTGTAGCCTTAAGCCAAACATCTGGAAAGACAATCTGGCTTCGAAACCAGTTACTGAAGATGCTGTTAGATGTAATGCACTCAGACAAACTTCATCTGTCCTCCGAGTAAGTAGAATGGGAAGGTATAGGCAAGTGTCTCTATCTTCTGAATTTTTCTTCTTGCTGGTGCTTGACCAGGACTAAACATAATGAAAATACTTGAATCTCAACAAAATAGTAAGTAGGAGCAGACTGGATTCAGAGCTACTTTTTGGTCAGTGATTTATCTGGCATTCACCTGTGTGGTTTGATCATATCTGATATCTTTATCCATTTTGGAAAAAGTTTTACATTTTCAGAAAATATTATGAAGGAGGAACTTAGATATTGGTGTTTCTTCTGCATTACAAGGGTTGAAGAAATCCCAGCTATCTGTGAAAATCAACTCACTCTAATGTGGGATTACTTGCACCTCTCTATCATAACCATGAGCATGCACTTACTACAGTTCTACCTTTTATAACTGAAAGGAAGATTTTATAGTGCTGGGTGCTTTAACTCGGTGTGTTTTCACTAGAAAACACATCTTGGACTTCAAAATTTAAATGGTAATTTTGAATTTCATAGGTTAAAAAATCTAATCACATTCGCAGGAGATTCATATTAGTGAACTTTTTTTGTCTGACAGTAATATAAGGTTGGATTTAGGAGGAATTAAGTGTCTTCACCTGTGTAGATGAGTCTGTTATTAAATCTTCATGATTCTGTGTTGTGGTACACCTTTAATCAGATTTTTTCTAGAGAAACTTGAGCTTCTAAATCACTTAGAGATAATTTTAAATAATATCTCCTCTCTGTCTTTCACCATGTCTCCTTCCATGTATTTCATTTATCTGTTTCTCCTAGGGAAAAAGAAAAGACATTTTTGGCACTGGGGCCAGACTGGTTTCTGCTATTCACACAGAGCTACCTGCACTCTAGCACAGTTGTGCTAGGAATCAAGCTACTTCTGTGCTTCCTCCACAATCGTTTGCTGCTGAACAAATTCAAGGAGGGGATAGTGGCTGGGCGCTGGCTGGAAAACAGCTCTGCAGGATTGAGTATTCTAATGGGTATGTATTGGTTTAATGTTCCCCAAACACTGCCTTGATCCAGCTCAGTGATAGATCACTGAAGTACATGATGGGAGAATTCCCACTGATCTCAGCAGACCAAGAATTGAAATTACTTTCTAGGGCAATCTTGTCTTGTACTTCAGCATTTCTGTGCTGAAAACTGGAAAGCATTGCTTCTCCCTTGCACGATAATTAGCAATTCTGATTAGCACTTTCAGGGAGATGGGCCTTTTTGTGTTGCACAAAATCAGACTAGCTGATAAGCCCGTGAGGTGTTGCAATGTCAGCTGTGCTCTGAAACCTTTTGTTTCTTTAAGATTTGTTCAGCTTGCTTTCTGATAATTAGACCTGTGGTTCTGAGAAAGGGAGGAGAAAGGAAGAATAATTAAGGGAGAGTCTCCTGTAACAAAAGTGATAGTGGGATAAATGGTTATCTGTTCGTCTGAGGGAGTTTTATAAACTGTTGATATTGCTGATACTGAGTGGCCTGGGACAGAGACAGATGAGGATCAAGTTCTGTCAGTAATCCTTCCTCTGATATGACATTTAATTTTAGACACTTTCCTTTTCTTTTCCTTTAAAGATAATTTAAAAACTCATCCTCCAGTGCCTGACAATGGCAACTTCTTGATTTTTGGGTTTTCTGTGTTGCAAAGATGTCTGACTGATCATGTCCACATCCCTGAGATCTACCTGCTTGTGGCAGAGCTCCTGCTGGCAACTCCGCAATCTGAACCACCTGAAGCAGTCAAGGTATGAAAAAAGCACCTGAAATTGATATTGCTTTACTACTTTGTCATTTTATGCCCTTTGTCATGAGAGAATTTTCAGGCAAGTTAATCATACTTGGGTTTTCTGATAATAAAAATTAGTCATTTGTATTTTAAAAATTAAGTTAACTTTGATTTAAGAAAATTTGTGTTCAGAACAAAATTGTTCATGCAGGTATTAAATGCTACACATTTAATAGAAGAGGGAGGAGCTGCTGGAGGTGAAGATGTGTTGAGTTTTTTCTGATGTGGAGACAGCAGGCTTTGTTCTTGATGTATTGTATATAATTCCCATCTCTTAATCAAATATCTCTCTTCCTGTGTAGAAAGATCTTGAGTCTATGTTGCAGTGGATCTTGCAGCACCACCTTACAGAGAATGTCCTCAAAATTGGGTTGTGTGCAGAGGCAGCTGTTTTACTGCTGGAAATGGTTAGAGTCACTGTGGACAAGGTAAATGTTTTGTTGCAAGGACAGTGCACTGTGAATGGCAGAATAAACTGCCCAAGCATGACAGATTCAGTGGCAGCCTTTACCTGTAATCCTTAGTCCTCCTCTGCCCTCACAGGGCAGTACTGAACATAACAGTGAGCGCAGACTTCAAAGGGTCAGAACTGCTGTTGCCCTGGTTATCTAGCAGATGATGTGATGGTCTCATGTTTAAGAACTTTTGAATACAGAGACTGATCTTACCCACAGCAGTACTAAACTTTTTTCATTCTTGATGATGAGGATATGTCATCTTCTGGTTGGGTTTATCTTCAGTCTGCAAGGTGGGAGTTGGCTGCCTGTGCCTTGCCTGATTTCTCCATGGCCATGTCATGTTTGCTTCACAGAAGAATGCTGACTTGACC